ATATATACACACACACACACACACACATACATACATACATACATACATACATGTGCAGCCAATTAAAACTTGAGGGGGCACTGGGGATCAAACTCATGACCTCACGCTTGCCAGGCAGGCATTTGAGCTGCTGAGCTAAACCTCCGGCCCCTGAATTGCCCTTTTAGTCTTGGGTTCTCTTTAAATTGAAACTATAATTGTGGGAAAGTGATGTTAAGCTCAAACCGGAATTTGGGATCGCTTCAGTGTTATACCAGGTTTCTTTGTAAATAAGAATGCCTTGTAGTTTTACACTCTTTTGCATGTGAAATTTTCTTCTAATCACATAGAAACCTGAAGAGTCATCAGAACCAGGTAGCAGCTTCAGGGAACATTAGTTCTTTTTTACGGGTGCCTGTCTGATGATCAGGTTTCCCACAACTGCCTTTTGGGCCTGTACCTTGTTTTTGCAGTTGGTTCCATTGATCATATCTGCTCTGCAGTTAGGAGACCTTCTCTGTGTGGGAAATGATGCCTGTGAGGGTGACAGTGGCTCGGAAGACAGACTCGAGGGACGTGGCTGACCACATGCCATGTGGATACATTTGGTCCTGTGACTCGTGACAAAAACCATGATGGGAGCAACAGCCTTTCCTTCCTGCATCTTTGTGCAGTTGTGTACCTAGACGGGCTGTGGAGGCCCAGTGGTCTTTTGAAGGCAAGGCCAAGAAGTATCCAAATGAATATAAAACCTTTGTTTTATGAGTTTTCTTGGTGATGAAGTAGTATGTACTTAATGCCAAATGACATAATCCCAAAGTTGAAAATTTCAAATGATAAAAATCTCAAGTTTAAAATCCCCAAAGATTAAAATCCTGAATGTTGGCCGGGGATTTAGCTCAGCAGTATAAGCACTCACCTGGCAAGCACGAGATCATGAGTTTGATACCTGGTACCAAAAAAAAAAAAAAAAAAAGAAAAAAGAAATATTCTAAATGTTGAAATCTGGAAAACTTGAATTCTGAATGGAAAATGGGTAATAAAGAAGGAGTAGAAGACTGAATTCGGGAGTGGTAATTAGTGCATTTTCAGCTGTGTGCAGGAGAGTTGCATCAGTTAGATTCGGCAGATCCCTAGAACCTGGGGAAGCATTGGTCCCTGTGTGGCTGTGAGGGTGTTTGCGGGGATTAGCCTGGGGCTGAGGTGGACTGGGGGAGGATCCTCCTACTGTCCACTCAGCAGGTCAGCAGAGAACAAATGTAGGAGCAAAGTGTCTCTCGAGAACTGGGCATTTTCTTAGGCTGCCTTGGGCAGCAGAACCTCAGGCTTGCTAGCCTTTGGGCCCCAGGACAAGACCAGTGAATTCTCAGGGCTCCAGTCTTTCAGGCGCAAACTGAGAATTACACTGTTGGCATAGTTAATATATAATATTGATACAACATGAGCATTGTGCATGTCTGTGAAAATGTGGAAGTCAGTGTGGTGGTACAGTCTGTAATTCCAGCGATTTGAGAGCCTGAGACAGGATGGTTGCAAATCTGAGACCAGCCTGTGCAATTTAGCCAGACCCTGTCTCAAAAGGGGCCAGACATTGAACTCAGAGCAAGACCCTGAGTTCAAACCCCAATGCAAGACAGGAAGAAAGAGATTATAGAGAGTTCATTGTGTTATTTCAGATGACTGCAGGCTGTTGGTCAGCTTTCTATTTTTCCATCACTGGGATAAAACCCCTGGCATAGATAGCTTCAAAGAGGGAAGGGTTTGTTTTGGCTTGCAGTTTCATAGCCTCAGTGGACCGTGATTGCCGTGAGTTTGAGGCAAGCTTGGGCTACACAGTGAGTTCAAGGCCAGCCTGAACTATATATCTCGACCTTGTCTTAAAAGATAGATAAGATTAACCATCACATGTAGTTACAGAGTTGTAAAGCTCTGTAGCTGAATGCACACGATTAACCAGCTATTGTGATACTCATTTTTTCTTTTTTTGTCTTTTTTCCATTACTGAGAATTGCACTCAGAACCTTTGCATTTGTCTACATCCGTAGTCTTTTTTTTTTTTATTTTTTGTGACAGTCTGGCTTAATTGCCTACGCTGGCCTGAACTTAATATCTTTCTGCCTCGATCTCCTAGAGGAGTGGGATTATAGGTGTGTGCCACCGTGCCCATTTTTATTTATTCTTTATGAGTACAGTTTATTTGCTCATATCTGTTATACAATTGTTGACTGTACGATTGTCATTAGTATACATGAATGCTTGTGCTAATGGTTACAAAATATGTTAATACTGCCTATTTTATTGTTTAAATTGGCCTACCATGCAGTGAATGTTCAGTAAGCATTAGTTGTCACTAAAGTGACAGCAGTAGTAACAATGGTAATTGTAATTTCTCTTAAAGTTGATAAAGTCACCTGTCTACCTTCCATATTCTATCCAAACATAGGCACACAGTGTATAAAGTTAAAATTTTTTGTCTAAAGTAGTGCTGTCCAGTAGAACTTTTTCTGGGGGGGAGTACTAGCAATCAAACTTGACCTCATGCTTGCCAGGCAGGTGCCGTGCTGCTGAGCTATATCCCTGCTTCAGTAGAACTTTTTGTCTTGCTGCTTGCTTTTTTTTTTTTGTACCAGGGATCAAACTCATGACCTCGGGCTGGGGATTTAGCTCAGAGGCATAAGCACCTGCCTTGCAAGCAGGTGGTCATGAGTTCGATCTCCAGTACCGATTTAAAAAAAAAAAAGTTAAATTCATGACCTCACACTTGCCAGGCAGGCACTTGTGCCCCTGAATTAAATCTCTGGCACTTGTGCTCTGAATTAAATCACCCCCTTTAGTGATAATGTCCTCTCCAGTTTAGCAGCCGCTGGCAACATCTAGCTAATGGTGACTGTGTTAGACAGAACACAGTCTAAAATGCCGCATTTTCCTATAGTTTGACCACATGTATTACTATTTTTTACCCCTATGCCCACTCTTTTAGAATGTTGTGAATGTTTCCCTTCACATGAGATACATACTCTTTTTTTTTTTTTTTTTGTCTTTTTTCCTTTTTATCGGTACCAGGGATCGAACTCAAGACTGCCTGCTTGCAAGGCAAGCACTTATGCCGCTGAGCTAAATCCCCAGCCCCTGAGATACATATTCTAATACTACACGTGTGATTTCTTGAAGCCTAGAACCAGCAAATATTATTTTCCCTTTTCTTGTAAAATATTAATTTTTTAAAATAGTAATGTAAACAGTGAACTTGAAAGGGCAAACCCAACGTAGTCTGGTCATGTTAGCCACTGTTTTGGGTTTCTGTATCACATGGGTGTATCTGAGTTACCTTCTTGGGACTTGGGGTGACTCCTACTGTATAAAACAGGTACTCCAGAACCAGGCATGGTGGCTCACACCTGTAATCCCAGCACTCGGAAGGCTGAGGTGGGAGAATCTTTGCAAGTTTGAGACTAGCCTGGGCTATAAAGTGAGCTCAAAGCCAGCCTGAACTGCATAGCAAGACCCTGTCTCAAAAAAGACACCCCCCCCCAAAAAAAAAAAAAAAAAAACGGTCACTCGTGCTGTTCCATTTAATAGATAAGAAAACTGAGAAAGAGAGATCTGACAACTGGCCTGAGGTTCATAACTGGTTAAGGGGCAGGGCTGGGAGCTGACGCCACAGAGCTTCAGAGCCTATGCTCTTAACCGTAGTTCCTTACTTTAAACCCCACTGCTAATTATGTTTTAGAATTCTGACTTTTCAGGTTTGAGGATGGGAATATCTGTCTGCCTTTACAAGATCTCTGGTAGACTATGGGGAGTGCTCAGTAGTGAGACTATTTCTCCCTCTGCACCTATGAATATTCACACTTAGCTGACCAAAGACTACATAGCTTGATCACTTCAGGCCAGGTTTTGTTATCAAATTATTTGCTGTAGGGGACAGAATTCTAAGGATTTGGGAATTTCAAATAAGAAATTAAGGCCCTCACACTGAGCTACCTACCCAGCCTTTTTTACTTTTATATAGGGTCTTGCTGAGTTTTCCAAGTGGTGCTTGGCTTGTTATGTTGAGCAGTGCATCCTGAATAGAGTCGAACATATTAGAAGTAGACATAATACAGCCGACTTTCCAAACGTAACAACAGCAGGCTGGAGAGCTTGCTCGTTTAATGATCGTGTGGCTGACTGACGGCAGAGGCTTGCTGCTGACACACACACACACACACACACGCACACACGCATGCACACCCAGCATTTCAAGAAAGTATTGTTAGGGCTGGCCTGAGGTTCAGAAGTAGAGCTCTTGAGTAGTAGCAAGTGTGAGGCCCTGGGTTCAGTCCCTGTAACTGCAAAGAGAGACAGACAGATGGTCAATTGTACAAATGTTTGAATTTAGGGTATGTTTTCTACTGAATGCTTATCAGGTAACACCACTGTAAAGTTATGAAGTAGTAAATTGAACCATCAGTTAAACTGGAAAATTGGTAACTGTATTTAATAATTCAAAATAGTGTATAGCCGGGTGTGGCGGTGCACACCATAATCCCAGCACTCGGGAGGCTGAGATGGGGATCACTGTGAGTTTGAGGCCAGCCTGAACTGCAGAGCGTGACCCTGTCTCAAGAAGATAATCCTCCCTCATAGCCTTGAGAGATAGTTAGTCCATCCTTTAATTCCTGAGTAAGGTAAGTAAATTAAACCCTAGAGAAGCTAAGTCACTTTTCTCTAACTCGGATTTTCTGTGTTAATTCTAAGAGGTTATAAATCAGTCTCGATTTCCTTCGACCTGCAAGCTTAGTGTTGTCTGACTTTTTGCTTTATAGGATTGGTCCCACCTTGTCATCTCACAGGGAAAAGCGATCTGCGGCGAGCCTCCCAGTGGCTTGTTGGGAGGCCTCCAATTACTCTTTTTCTTTTTTTTTGATATAGGACTCAAATTCAGGAGCTTGCACTTGCCAGGCAGGCAATGTACTGCTGAGCTAAATGCCTGGCCAGAGACCCCAAATTCTAATCATGGTGTTATTTATTTCTCTTAGGCTCCTATCCTTCCCCCAAAGCTGGAGCTACTCTGGTTGTGTACAAGGACTTGCTAGTGCTCTTTGGTGGCTGGACACGGCCAAGCCCTTATCCTCTGCACCAACCAGAGAGATTCTTTGATGAAATACACACTTACTCACCCTCTAAAAACTGGTAAGCCACAAAAGCAAGCTTCTTTAAATGTGGAAGAAAAGATTTTAAAGCTCTGGATTCCTTGTTCTCATTGCTGTTTGAAACAGTGTCTCACTATATAGTCAGGCTGACCTTGGCCTTGAACTTTGCTGTCCTCAACCACACTTAGCTTTTGTGTCATGAATCCTTTGGAGAATTTGATGAAAAACTAAAAACTCTTCTCTCAGGGATGGAGGAAAGTATCATAATCAGCTTTCGTCTGTAGCTTCAGAAGGTTTGCAGGACCCACTTTGGACCATAGGTTCAGAACCCTTTTTTCAACCAGGCATGGTGGTGCAGGCCTTAATCTCAGCACTTGGGAGGCCAAGGCAGGAGGATTACTGCAAATTCCAGACCAATTTGGGTGACACTAGTAAGTTCAAGGCCAACCTGAGCTACATAGCAAGACCCTGTCTCAAAAAAAAAAAAGAAAATACTGAAGAAAAATAAGTGTACCAGTTAGAGAAGAAGGTGCCCTTCGGAGTTGGCTGCTAATTCCCCAAGAGTGATACAGATTCAGATGATTCTTTGTACTTTTTTTTTTTTAGACTTAAGGTGACAGCAACCCTGCTCCTGTTAAGAAATACAAACAAGGGGCCAGGGATTTAGCTCAGTGGCATAAGTGTCTGCCTTGCAAGCAGGTAGTCGTGAGTTCAATCCCCAGTACCGACAAAAAAGAAATACAAACACGTTCTTGGTATCTGCTACTGACAGGCCCACAGGGAGAGGTGGTGGTGGTGCTCCTTCTGCACATCAGACTGAACCAGTCTTGTGCCTCATCATCATCTTCCCCTCCCTGTCTCTCCAGACTGCCCACACTGAGGGCCTAAAAGTTAATGAGTATAACTTTAAGAAAGTTTGCATGAAGCCAAGGATGGAGCTCAGCAGCACAGCACCTGCCTGACAAGTGCAAGGTCCTGAATTTGATTCCCAGTACCAAAGAAAAATGTTTATAGGAAACGCATAAGTATCTTACACCACCACCAGCCCCCTTTTTTGATACTGGGGATTGACTGCAGTGCCTTCATTCTGAGCTACCCCTCAGGCCATTTTTTGAGACAGGTCTCACTAAGTTGTCCAGCTGGGCTGTCACCTGCAGTCCTCCTGCACCTCCTTTCCCAGAGTGCTGGGATTACTGGCATGCAACACCACACCGTGTTTTGTCCTCCCTTTATTCTCCTAATAATATTTTTTCTCAAGGTGATGGGATTATCATTTTAAATTTTTGTTGTTTGCTTTAAACCTGTGCATTCACAAGCAGATGGTGCTGACTTCTTGGTCTCCTCTGTTCATATTAGGTGGAATTGCATTGTAACAACCCATGGGCCCCCTCCCATGGCCGGCCACTCCTCCTGTGTGATAGATGATAAAATGATTGTCTTTGGTGGCTCTTTAGGATCCCGGCAAATGTAAGTATATTTGGTTTGCTCCATATTAACCTGAAGGTAAATACACCTGAGAATAACAGGCCAGGAAACTAACCTAGGGATTGGAGCTGGAGTTGAGTGTGGGAGTGCCTGCCTACCATATGTGAGGGCTTGGGTTCCGTCCCCAGTACTTCAGAAAAAGAATAAAAAAAGAAAAAGAAAATTAGTTCAAGAGCCAGTTTTCCTGAGTATGATTCTTACAAATCCAATTAGTTATCTTGCCCTAGCATCCTATCCTTTAGTTCTTTAATCATATACCAGTTAAGTTGGGCAGTTTGCTGCATAAAATCAAAGTCATGTTAAATGTGGTTCTGTTTGGTGTTTCATCGGGATACATTCTGATGGACCCCCACCTTGTCTGCTGTACTATGCCTATAGAAGCAGGGGATTTCTACTTAATTTATTACACGGCTCAGGCCCATGGGGACTGTAGACAGGAGAGTGGTGGACGTGAGCTCTGCAGATAGAATGGGCTGAGTGGATGGACGGCATGAGAAAACTGTGTCAGGTATGCTGCACTCTGCGAGGCCCTTCTCCCCACCCCATCCTTTCCACCTCTGAGCGATGTTGGCCAACTCAGGCCAGAGGCAAGAGCCAGTCTGTCTAAGTCACCATTCAGCCAGTGCAGCCATAGGCACAGCAGTTGTCCTTTCCGCTGGGCTCTGAAGTGGGAGTTGATGAGCTGTCAGCAGTAAATTATTCAGAGCCAGCCCTTTCCTCTGTGACAAAGTACTCCCTGCTTTCCTGCTTTAAAATAGTTACAGAAAAACTAACAGAGCTGCCCTTTAGTTAAAAGCGGTTTAACTTTGGAATCCATGTAGTCCTGTATGTGAAGAGAGGGCCTCAGAGAAGTGACCATAACGTAGAGACTGCCATCTAGCAGTCTGTCCTTCTGCTGGCCTCTAGAGAATTGGTAATGCTGGTTTGAACTTGATCAAACTACAGCTTTCATTAGCATTGTGAAATTCCTTTTTGTAGCCAGGATCAATAAAGCTTTTCACTCTTGGACTGTGAAAGTATATCAGCTACCTTTGGAATATTTTTCTCCTCTTTTCATTTTGATCTTATTTATTTATTTGTTTCTTGTTTTTTGAGACAGGATCTTGATTTATAAATCAGGTTGCACATAAACTCAGTCTGTAGCCCAGTCTGGCCTCAGATTCATACTGATCCTCCTACCTTAGCCTCCCAAGTGCTGAGATTATGCCACCACCCTTGGTTTGGTTTTTATTTTTAGAAGACTACATACAAGCTGGGTGTGGTGGCACATGGCCATAATCTCAGCACTTGGAAGGTCAAGGCAGGAAGATGACCAGCCTTCAAGGCCAGCCTTGACTAAATAGCAAGACCCTGTCTCAAACAAAACAGAACAAAACAAAACAAAAGACTACATTCAACCAGACATAGTGGTACACACTGCAGCTCTAGCACTCTGGGAGGCGGAGGGCAACTTGGCAGTTTAGCTAGACCCTGTCTCAAAATTTGAAAGCCTGGGAATATAACTCAGTGCAAAGACCCTGGGTTCAATCCTGAGTCCCCCATCCCCATTATATACAGCTTGACCAATAGCAATTTCTTCCTATCCCAAATAATTTGTACTTTAGATACCATTGTGTGGCCACAGATGTGATTCACACAAGGCCTTATGGTAAGTGGACAGGACAAAGATTTAACAGTCTCCAGATGTGTTTTAGGGATAATAGAGGAAGAAAAATAAAGTTTTAAGGGCTAGCTATGGGCCCGGCATTTTGCTGGACATATTTATAAATGTAACTTCATTTATATCAGCTTTTCAGAGTAGCAGTACTTGTACTTGATAGATATGGAAACAATTACAGAAAATTAAGTTTCTTGTTCAAGCCACAGAGCTAGGATTTCAACAGTGATCTTTCTGGTTGTGAAGCCCCTGAACTCTAGGGAGTCTATTTCTGAAGCTTCTTCCACCCCAGACCAGCTCTGATTGTGGAAAGGGCGCAGCTTTGCCAGTGGGGCACAGGCACATGGAACTTCCTGACCGCCGCTGGGGTCCCTGGAAGCTCCCAGCATCCTCATTCTTCTGTCCTTATCTCACACAGGAGCAGTGATGTCTGGGTCCTTGACCTCGAGCAGTGGGCATGGTCCAAGCCGAACGTCACCGGCCCCAGTCCTCATCCTCGAGGTGGTCAATCTCAGGTGCTCAGGAATTAAAATAACTATTCACCAAACACTGTAGCATCTTTCAGTTAGAACAGGAGAGGGAGGAGGGAGTCAGGTAAGATGCCAGTAGGCACTGAGCCGAAGAGAATTTGTAATTCTTGGTTTTTTTTTTTTTTTTTTTTTTTTTTGGCTGGTGTTTAGTTTTCATTTCTGATGGTCATATTATTTATAGTAGCTTTATATTGTACCTCTCCTCAAAGTATTTACTTTGCTGTTTCATTTCTCAAGTGAAGCCTGAATTTTGTGTGATTGGCTTTCATATTAATATTTGAACAACAAAGAATGTATCCACTTGGGAATTAAATATAATTTATTCAAGGGATTCAAATTGACAGGGTTTGGGGAGAATAGAAAGCTTAAGATAACCAAAACACCCATTTGGGAGCTGGGTTTGCTATTTTTATGTCACAAGCACAAGAAGTCACTTACCTATGTCATTGTAGGTTTACTTGAAACTTTTTCCCTCCTCCAGATTGTCATAGACAACTCGACTATCTTAATCCTTGGAGGGTGTGGTGGTCCCAATGCTGTGAGTATTGCTTGTGTGGCATTTCCGTGCAGTGCTGCTAAGTATTCAAACCTGCTCCCCTGGCTTACCATGGAAAAGTACACAAGACACTCTCTGCAGTGTTTTCATTAGACTATGTCTTGTCCACCTTGGGCATATAGCCTTTCTATTTTCTGGCCTTCTCCCCCCACCCTTTTTGGGAAGATCATGAAATGCTGTTAATCAAAGATATTTATCTCTTGTATATTCCTGTCTGTATCCTTCCACTTCCTGTTTCCGCTTTGAACTTTAAGGTTTACTGTTATCCTTTTTTTCAAAAGTGCAGTCAATAGAAAAGCAGGTGAGTAGCTTCCCAGGTCCACCCGGAATTTATTTACAAATGCAGTTTCTGCCATATGTAGTGGCACATCAAGCATTTGGGAGGCTGATGGGCTACATAGTGAGACCTTGTCTCAAAAAAAAAGAATGCAGTTTCAGACAGTTTGGATATGTTATTATCCTCTCCTTTGCGCACGCACACGTACCCATAGGTCAAACCAGTATAGTTGATTCATGGATGAGAAACACAATTCCATGTGCCAGGCCAGCCAGCGGTAGTGCGTGTGTCGATGGCAGTGTGATTGGGGGCATGCACACCTGAGTACAAAACGAGGACCTGCCTTCTCTTGGAAGGCCTGTGCACTTTCTAGAGCAGACAGCCCCTTTGAGGCTGCAGCTCTGCGTGTGCAGTGTGCTGTATGCTGCACCTGAGTCCTGCTGTTGACCCTTTTCTTCCAGCTTTTCAAGGACGCTTGGTTGCTGCACATGCACTCGGGTCCGTGGGCCTGGCAGCCGCTCAAGGTAGAAAATGAAGATCATGGGGCTCCGGAACTGTGGTGCCATCCAGCCTGCCGGGTAAGCAGAGAGCTGACTGGCCAGCACGAGGAGACGTTCTCCACCAGAAAACCAAACCTGCCATCGGTCTGTCAGGCTGCAAAGGAGATTTGTACAGAAATAGAAAACACTTTGGTGCCACAAAAGGTGGACATTGAGTGTAGCTGCTTCATCATTTCTTTTATAGATGAGCTACTAGATAGGAAAAATTACACAGTCCCCACTCATTCATTAATCCCAACTTTAAATATCTGTGTCTGTAAAATTCCCCCCAGATTTCCACCAAGAAAAACTGACTCCTTCCTCCATTCTACCTATATTCTATAGACACATCTAGTGAGAGAGACACCAGTTGTTCCCATATCTGTATGGCCATCTAGCCTGGAGAACAGACTACGTTATTTTCATCTCCATGTAATTCATCTGTATCTCAGGTCTACAAGATGCGTGGCATATCAGCCAGGCCTAGATTTGGTGCATACTTGTAATCTCAGCTGTTTGGGACGCTGAGGTAGGAGGATTATGAGTTTGAAGTAAGCCTGGGAGCGTAACAAGAATCTCAAAAGAAAATTAAAAAGTGTTGGAAATGTAGCTCAGTAGCAGATCTCTTGTCTAGTATTCACTAGGCCCTGATTTTAATCCCTAGTACCACAAAAAAAAAAAAAAAAAAAAGCAAAAAACACATCAACAGCAACAAAAACCAGACAGATGCCTTGCGTATTGGATTACTTATGTTTAAATGTTTGATGGTTGAAGGATCAGAATTGTAGAAGAGGCTGTGAGCACAGGTCCTTTGTCTTCCAGGTGGGACAGTGTGTGGTGGTCTTCAGCCAGGCTCCTAGTGGGAGAGCCCCCCTCAGCCCCAGTTTGAACTCTCGCCCATCACCTATCAGTGCCACTCCTCCAGCCCTGGTTCCTGAAACCCGAGAGTACCGCTCGCAGTCTCCCGTGAGGAGTATGGACGAAGCTCCTTGTGTTAATGGCCGCTGGGGAACTCTGAGGCCCAGGGCTCAAAGGCAGACTCCCTCAGGTTCCCGGGAAGGGAGCCTTTCCCCGGCCAGAGGAGATGGCTCTCCTGTCCTCAATGGCGGGAGTTTGTCTCCAGGAACAGCAGCTGTTGGTGGCTCTTCCTTGGACAGTCCTGTACAGGCCTTATCTCCAAGTACTCCTGCTGCTGAAGGATGCGACCTAAAAATAGGACTTGCTTTAGCCCCTCGGCGAGGGTCACTACCAGATCAGAAAGATCTGAGATTAGGGTCCATAGATCTGAGTTGGGACCTGAAACCTGCTTCCGGGAGCAATCATATGGATGGTGTGGACAACAGGACAGCTGGGGGGAGTTCAAGACACCCTCCAGAACAGACCAATGGTGTGCATACCCCTCCGCACGTGGCCAGTGCCCTTGCAGGGGCTGTCTCACCCAGTGCCCTGCGTCGGAGTCTGGAGGCCATCAAAGCAATATCATCCAAAGGCCCCTCGGCTTCTGCAGCACTAAGTCCTCCCCTTGGGTCTTCTCCTGGCTCTCCTGGGAGCCAGAGCCTTAGCAGTGGAGAAACAGTCCCCATCCCCCGCCCAGGCCCAACAGGATCTGCCCAAGGAGATGGACATTCCTTACCTCCCATTGCCCGCCGCCTGGGCCACCACCCGCCACAGTCCCTCAATGTTGGCAAGCCCCTGTACCAGAGTATGAACTGCAAGCCCATGCAGATGTACGTGCTAGACATTAAAGACACCAAGGAGAAGGGGCGTGTCAAGTGGAAAGTATTCAGCAGCGCCTCTGTTGTGGGACCCCCGGAAACCAGCCTGCACACAGTGGTCCAAGGCAGGGGCGAGCTTATCATATTTGGAGGACTCATGGACAAGAAGCAGAATGTGAAGTACTATCCAAAAACAAACGCCTTGTACTTTGTGCGTGCAAAGAGATAATGTGTGCGAAATCCCCTGTCCCTTTCTGTAGCTTTTCATTTGGAATTTTCCAGTGTGCAAGCATTTGGACTAAGAATTGGGAAAACAATAACATTATTCCTATAAACCAAAACTCCAATGCCCGATCTAACTCACTCCAGGCTGGGATCAAATCTTCATTAAGAAAAAAATTATATATAAAATGTATATTATATAACCAACTCTGTTTACAAAAAAGAGAGAGATCTCCGTCCTAGTTCAGATAAAGTTGTTGCTGTGTTTTAGCAGAGGCTGAGCTGCCTTTTTCTACCTTGCTGATAACTAGACCAAGAATCATTAAGTTTCCAGTAGAAACTGAAGAGCCCCTGCACATCTATCTTCATGTGGCCTTCTCAGAATCAGAGAACAGGAAGGGCATAGATGAGACCAAAGGAGCTTTCAACGCAGCCCCCACTTCTGCGGTGCTGGTGGGGTGAAAGAAACTCAGAAGAAAACCGCAGAGGACCTGTGCCAGCTCCGCAGGATGCCCTGTGCCTGGTCCCCTTCTGCCCTCTGACCCAGGGAGTCGCCCAGCAAGGAGTTTCCTTTTCCAAGTGTGCCAGGATCATCGAGGATCAGCTCACACAGCTGACATCTGTCCACCTCATATCCCATTGCTCCTTTGAATGCTCCCTACATGTCTCAGAAAACATTTGCTATTTGTGGAATTTTCTGACAATCATGTTTGATTGCAAGTTCCCAAAACTTGTATTTTCTGCTTTTCCTTATTTTAGAATTTTTGTTCTCAGTCTGAATTTCCCATGTGAAGGCTCCCCCCGCCCCACCCACACACCTTTTTCCATGTGGATTTCCTAAGCCCTAAAACTTTTTCTCACTTTGCTTCTTTCACAGCTCAGGTTCCTGGAGAAGTCAGATGCTCCTTAGAAATGCTTCCAGAACCCTTTCCCTGGCATCTCTAGGAGACAAGTATGGAATTCTAAGATGCTAGTATAGTGGAAAACCCTTGAAGCTTTGAAGGGCACTCTGTGGGTTTCTTTTTAGTTCCAGAACACATAGGGCACGCTCATCTGAGTTTATAGAACAAGGAAGTTGGTTCTGGGAAAAATCCTAGTGACATTTCATTTTAAGGGGGGGGAATTTTTTCCCTGTGACATGTGTTCTTGTGCCTGGCTGTTAACAGGTGATTGGATTGCACATCGTGTACTTGACCTTTGTGACATCTGGCGCCCTGGGGAGCAACTTCATCAATTATTTGTGTTTGTCTTGAAGTTCTCATGTCACCCAACAGGGCTTGGGTTTTAGCTTTCCCTTTATTTCTGAAATAAGGCACAACCAAGTAAGAACATTTCTTTGGTTAATACAGAAAGTTAGACGTTAACTGTCTCCAAACCATGCCCAGAACATAGGAAATGTCAAATGAGTTTATTTCAAATGGGACCGTTTAAATGTGAGGTTTTGGTGATTTCCCGTCAGTGGATAGATTTTTTATTTTACCTTTAAGATTTCAATTTCAAAGCATGTTTCCCACCCCACGCTCCCTTTCTCTTGTTAGCATTTCTCAGGCACAAGCCGTCTACAGCTGGCCCTGGATCCTGGCCCCCAGCCAGCACTTCACAGTCTTTCTGACAAGTGTGATTTCTCCTGTTGCATCATGCTGAACCCTTCCTCTCACTGTCCGCGCCCTCAGTGTGGTCTTGATGGGGAAGCCCTCTGGTGCCAAGCCCAGGAAAGGGCCAGCTCACGGGGAGGGTGCGCGTCCTGAAGCCGCTCTACTGCTCCCTCGGAGGAGGAGACCATGCGCCTACTTCCTCTGGTGTCACGCCGCTCGAAGCTGTGCACAGGGCTTTCCGAAACTCCTGCTCTGTGCCAATGCCAGTCCTTCCTTGGCCAAGACTGTTCAATCACATGGGGTCCTGATTTATAAGGCGAAGCCAGCCTAGAGAATTAGCATCCTAGGAGGTTTGGTGTCTCTGCTGTGCGGAACCTCATCTATGACATTGTGTTTGTGCATGGACAGTGCCTCCACACTCAGTTCCCACATAAGTATGAAGTGTTTGGAAGCTTGAAAGTTCAGAATCTTCACTTGGTAATCTTTTCCTTGTCCTGTGGCCTTCCTACGCCAGCTGTTCACCTGTTGATTCCTGTGCTTTCCCAAGTAGGCAAGCGACAGAAACATTGATTCTCTTAGAAAGTAACCCGGCTCCTCTGAACTCCATGCACCCCAGTATTACCCGCACCACTGGGGACTAGACTGTCAGTTTACAGCCCTCTGAGAACAATCCACCGCGTCCACACTCAAGTGTGTGCGTCTCGACTCCCGGGCACTGTGGGTGTGGACCCAGTACAGTCATGATTGTCTCCTTGGGCACCTGGGGGCCACCTGCAGTGGGGGTCTCAGTGCCACTGCATGGGATGGAACCACAACTCTGTTTTTGAGGTGATACCAATTTTGTCTTAAATTCATTGAGAGAAATGAGACAAAATATTTTTCTTTAAACCCTCAGGAGCACCTAAAGGAAATATTTATCAGTATTTAAGTATTTAAAACACATCTTGTTTCTACTTGAAGCTTTAACCCCTCCATTCCTACAAGTGTGCCTTTGAGAGCCCCCCGGGTCATAATGACTTCACTGGTCACCACGCTGACCTCATTAAGAATTTTTAGTCTCTTACGCCCTCTTGGACAGAGCTTCCTGTTCTCATTTCACGTTATACAGCAGAGAGCATTCTGTGTTTTTGTTCCTATTTCCACCCTTTTCCACACATGGATGGTGGGCTACATTCCCCCTCTCTGCCCCCCATTCTGGAAGCACCAGTTTGGTGTCAGAACAAGCTTAAATTTTGTTTTCAAGGCAATACAAGACTTACTCTCCTCCTAGCCTTCTGGGGTTGACTTGATTTTAACATTTGCATTTGTAGCAAGAGCTGAAACCATAGACTATCTAGGAACTATATTGGAACACTTTGATAAAGAGGAGGAGGAGGAAGAAAGAAACCCACCGTAAAAGTCTTGACTTTGGAGGATGGAATGCCACTGGCCAGCAGACAAGGGGATCGTTCCCTGTCCTTCACCTTGTCAGTCTGGGTTTCCTCCGCTTCGCTTTCCCTTCCCCTTCAGAGTAATACACCTGGTTGGTCTGTCTGTCCGTCCTTGTCTTCCTGGTGATCCTGGCATGGTGATGTGCTCTGCTTTGCATTATCTGTGGTTTTGCACCAGCGTTGCTGTCAGTGGAGAGGATCTGAAGACGCCAGGGTGGCAAGCCCATGCCCAGCTGTCCGCCAGAACTGTAGAAGGCCTGTTCTGCGGCTCCCTGCCCCGTGTTCGTTGTGAGTGAGAGCAAACCTTAGGCTTGGGCTCCACTGAACTCTACCTGCTCTGCTCCCTCCCACCAATCAGGGTTCATGTCAGTGCACACCCATCGTGCCCTGGCAAAGCTGGTGCTGTGAGTGATGTTTCCCATACAGTTCGGGGGTGCCAGCCGGCTTACCCTGAGATAGTAGTCATTTTAGGCACATAACAGTGTAGGAATGAAAATGGATTTCATGAATATTTAAATCTGTCGGTTTCATTTTTTGTTAATGTTTTCCCCTGATGACTTTTTAGCAATTTAACAAATAAAACAAAATGGACAGAATTGTCTTTGACTTTTTTTTTTTGTATCAGGAATCAAACCCAGGACCTCATACTTGCCAGGCAGGCGCTATGCCACTGAGCTATCCCTGGCCTTGTGCTAAATCCCCAGCCTTGACTTTTAGTATAGAAAAGGGGGAAAATTACAGTAGAAATTAGTTGAGGTTAGAAGCAAGGTAGTTGGACTAGGCATGGTGGTGTGCACACCTGTAATGCCAGTACTCTAGGAGGCTGAGAGAGGAGCATGGTTAGGTTTGAGTGAAGCGTGGCCTGGGTAACTTTCACCCCGTCTCAAAAAAGTTTAAAAGGGATGGGTATGTAGCTTGGCACAAGGACCCTGGGTTCAATCCCTAACGCTAAAAAATGCTAAAGTGAGATAGGTGGAAAGGCGCTTTGTCTCTAGGTGGATTGTGTTTATGGGTGGGGAGAGAGCTGCCCTTCTCCGGGCCAAGCACCATTTAATAAACAGCTGCTTACATCATGCTTGAAGGTCTTGGGGTTGCAGAGGTCAGTGGTGCCACCTGCAATGAAGACCCAAGGCAAGTGACAAGCTTGGAGACAGGCCCAAAGGCCAGGACACTGTCTGCACCATTACTGATCTTTTAAGCAAAGATGAACTAAGTGGGCCCCAAGGTCTTGAGAATCAGCAAATGCCAGTTGGTGGAAACACAGGCCAGAAGCCTAGAGGCTCTTGGCTAAATTCCGCCTTCCCTGTTCACTACTTAACCTTGGAGCCAAGTATCCTCATCTGTAGAGGTTTTGTTTCTTCCCTCCAGAATCATGGGGAGTGAAATGTGCTAGCTACTGCATGGCCAGGTGTGGAGTGCACACCTGTAATCCCCATACTTGGAAAGCTGAGGCAGGGGGATTGCTGTGAGTTCAAAGCTGCCTTTGGCTACATAGTTAGTTCACAGCCAGCCTAAGCTACACAGTGAAACGTGGTCTTTAAAAAAAATGTGCAAGGACAGGGCCTGGTACAAAGTGGGCAGCTACTCCCTGCCCACACAGGCCCAGCACATCACTCCTCGGCCAAGGGTTTTACTTTCGGTTTTATGACACACCTGGGGCCAGAGGCCTGTGCCCATCTGGGTATAAATTATTATTATAAGACCTAGTTAGGGAAGGAGCAGCACTGCTAGAGTTACTGCCCCGTGTCTGCCTGCAGCCAAAGGTCTTCTGAGGACCATCCCTGGGAGAGAAGCCTTTGTGTCACTTCTCGTGGTCTGTTCACCTCGCTGGAGGGGCATCGTCCCAGTCAGGACCTGTCCTCCCTCCCGCACTGCCAACCCCAGCCCAGGTAGCATTCCTGTGGGTCCTGTGGGAGGGGTGATCTCATTGCTGGAAGCATTGAGGCAGAAGCCTATTACCTGCGTGGGAGCAGATGATAGCTGTTTTATGCATCAGACAATATTGGGACCTACATTCCCTTTCGGCTGCTGAAATTTAGCTCTGTGGTTTCAGAAGAAACAGATTTTTTTAATGGCTCTGTCACTGAGTTAGGACAAGACAGTTCACCTCTTTGAGCCTCTGCTTTTATCACTGAAATGGCAATGACGATGCCACCCTCACAGTAGCAGTTCAGCGGGAATCCACAACCAAGAATGGTTACTGTTGAATGGATGTGATTCCCAGGAGGTCCGCTTGAGGGCACTCTGTGAAAGGCTTTCTGTGCACCTCAACTCTAGCTGAGGCCCTGAAGATATAAAATGGGTAGGAAGAGGAAAAGGACTTGCCCATTTCTCCCACCCTTCCTCAAGGAAGCCTGGGTGGCACCCCCTGCCTAGCCTCTGTCTCACTCAGGACTGTCCCAGGCTGGCCAAGCGCGGAACAAAATACCAGGCACCCAAAGTTAAAGGGCAGTGCCAGTCCAATCAGTGGACAGATCAGCAATCGCCCACCTTAATCCCAGCATTGCACTACAGATCAGTCACAAACTCTAGATTCAACTGTCTCTGAAAAAGCCCATCTAAAAGTATACCAGGCTTTAGGGGACATCCAGATACAAACCATAACATCACCTCACAGAAGCTTGGAGCCTACTCACCAGTCAGGGACCTGTCGCACTGGCTGGATGAAGATGACAGGTTCCGAGGTCAGAAGATGGTCCAGGCATCACACCAAAAAGACATGGTAGGGGAGCCTGGGCCTCACCTTCCAGGATGCTGACCCTGGCCGCTAACCCTAGCATTGGGGTGCAGGGGCAGGTGCTGGATCAGGAAGATCCCAAGTTACATGGTGAGACCTTGTTTTAAAATAAAGAAGCGAAAGGAAGTAGAGTCTGAGCAAATCTTGCTTCGTTGTCTTAGTTCACTTTGCTACTATAATGACATACAGTTGATGGGGTAATTTATAAACAAGAGAAACTTATTTTCTCCTTGTACTGCAGGCTTGGGAATCCAAAATCAGCACCAGTAGGTTTGCTGTCTCGTGACCCACCCCCCAACTCCCTCCCAAGATGGTGCATTCTTTCTGCTCCAGTGTGAGGGCTGTGTCCTCAAACAGAAGGGCAAATTGACTCCCTCTGCACTTTTTTTTGTTGTTCTTTTGGTATCAGGGACTTAACTCATGACCTTGTGCCAGGCAAGCACTTTATGCCATTGAGCTAACTCCCCAGCCCCTCCCTCCAAATTTTTATAAAGTTGATAATTCCATTCATGAGGTAGGTCTCTGCCGTCATGACATAATCACCCAAAATCCTAAGATGTTAGCAACACATGGTTTGGGGGAACATTCATTCAGTAGCACAGTCTTCTGAATCTTCTGCCTGCTAAACTATGGCAGAGTGCATATGAGGATGCAGCCTTTCTGGGGATCCTGGGTCGGTAGGGGAGCCTGGGCCTCACCTTCCAGGATGCTGACAAGCCTGCAGGCCTCCCACAGGGAAGACAGACCACCCGCACCCCTGCCCCAGGGGCCAAGGGGCCGCACAGGGCTGGGTGTGCACACCTGTGATCCCAGCACTCTGGGAGGCTGAAGCATAGAATCACAAATTCAAGCCCAGCCTGGCAATTTAGTGACCCTGTTTCCAAAACAGTTAAAGAGCTTAGAGCCAGGGATATAGCTCAGCTGTACAAGTGCCTGCCTGCTGGCAAGTACAAGGTCCTGAGTTTGATTCCCACTAGCAAAAGAAAAAAAGAATTTGGAATATGTAGCTCAGTGCAAAGGCCCAGAACTCAATCCCTAGCAAAACACACACACACACACACACACACACACACACCCTCTCTAAAGACTCACCCAGTGATGGGGCTGATGACAACGTAAAGTGACTTGTGTGGATTTGATGGCCAGTCCAGATGTAGAGAGAAAATAGCTCCTGACCAGAATTCACAGTGGGCCATAGGAATGCCTCTTACAGAGACCACCACAAATAGCCAGGCCTCTCCCCTGTAGAGACAGCATCCGAAGGGTTTGAGCCCTCACCCTAGCCGTGTCCCTAGCATTTGGGCAGTGCCCCCACCTCCAGTGACTGTGAGCTCCAGGGCTGGGGGTGAGGGGTGAAAAGAAATTTGAAGACTTGAAAACACTGAATGAGAAACAGCTGAACTCCAGTTTACCAGGAAGTCACTGAATTAAAGTGTCTGCATCAGAGAAAAGAAAAGCTCAGAGGCTGAGTCAGAGGAAATGGAGTTTTTGGGTTTTGGTTTTCTGTGGTGCTGGAAAATATAACCAAGGGCATTGTCCATGCTAAGCATGCGCTGTACACTGAGCTACACACACCTCCAGCCCTGATGTTCTGTTTCTTTCTCTTTGTAGCATAGAGATTGAACCCTGGCAAGTGTGCTAGGCAAGTGTCCTACCACTGAGCTACAGCCCTGGCCCTTTTTAGTTTCTAAAAGTTTTTGTTTTGGTTTGGTTTGGTTTTGCTTGTTTTTTGATACAGGGTTTCACTGTGTAGTTCAGGCTGACCTTAAACTCACGTTATAGCCCAGGATGACCTTGAACTCGCAGTGATCCTCCTGCCTCGGCCTCTTATTTTTCCATTTTGAGACAGGGTCTTGCTGTCTGCCCATGCTGGCCTTCAGTTTACAATTGTCTGCCTCAGCCTTGTAAGTCTATGGGATTACAGATACGCACCACCTTGCTCTGCTGGAAGTTCTGTTTCTTATATGTGCGTGAATGTGATGGTAAAAATGCACACTTGCTCCAGTGAGGAGGGAAGCCAGGAGTGCCTGGAACCCACAGGAGAGGGTGTGTGTAGAGCACAGGAGGAGCCAGGACAGGGAGCAGCCTCTGCAAAGGCACAGAGGTAGAGGCGCGGTGCCAGGCCCTTCCAGAACCTCGAGGACACTGACCATAGTGAGTAGGGCCGAAGTAGAGAACGCACTGGCAGGAGAGGTGCAGTTTAGGAACAGATGTCCAGGTCAAGACAGTGGCAACCAGGAGAGGACATCAAGATGCACTGGGTAGGTAGGACTCTGGCTCAGTGGGACAACATCTGCCCGGCACAGTGGGTCAGATCCCAGCTCGGGAAGAAAAACCCTCCACCTCATCACAAGTGATTTGGTCTGGGAGTGGGGGAGGAGGTTCTGGCCAGCCCTTGTCCCTGGATTCAACAGCTGTGTATGACTGCAGTCCCTGTGATTTCCAGGCATTGTTCCTACCTTGTAGACTTCACCTTTGAGCATGGGGTAGGGGACAAGGGACAGATGAGTGTGTAAAATGCATGTTAGGCAAGGCCATCCCAGGAGGTGACTTGGTGGTAGAATGTGACAGTGGGATGTGGGTTTGCTCATTGAAGGAACCCTTTCTGTAGAGGCAGCATGGCAGCTGAGACTTGTAGCCATAAATCAGGCACAGTGATGTATGCCTGCATTCCTAGCACTGTACACTGAGGCAGGAGGTTCAAAAATTCAAGCCCAGCCTGGGCAATTTAGTGACATCAAAGTTCCTTGTCTCAAAATAATAGAAAATACAAAGGCTGGGGATGTAGCTCAGGGCAAAGGCCCTATATTCAAATCCCACTACTGGGAAGAAAAAATTTTAAACAACCATCCATGGGAAGATGTGGGACAGCAGAGCAATCCCTGCAGAGGAAGCAGCAAGAGCAAAGGCCCTGACGTGTAAGGAGGGGAAAAGTCAGCTGGCTGGAGTAGGGAGCGAGCAGCCCCGAATTCCAGGGCCTGTGGGAAGCCAGAGTGGGGTGGTAGGCCTGGGCCCAGCCCACTCCCCCTCCGGACCCTCAAGCAGGGCTGGTCAGGCCTCACTCACCCATCCCTGCCCTCACTCAGGCTGGTGTCTGTCCCTGCTGATGACTGCTTTCATGGCCTTGTCAGGAGGTGTGAAATACAGCCTTGGGAGCTGGAACCAGGAAGAGAGGAGTGGATTAACCAGAGGGTTCTCCGGCTGGGCCACAGGGAGGTGGCCCACCAGCCTTGCCTGAGGACTGCAGCTGCGGTCAGGAACCCGCCCACCCCTCAGGACTGCAGGTTTACTGATCCCTTTGCAGAAGATTTTCAGGGTATGTCAGCAAGAGCCAGGAGGGTTTATCAGGCAGAAGTTTTAGTATACAAAGGAAGAGAGAGCAGGTCTTCAGAAGAAAGAAGCACATTATTCTTGGCCTAGCGAACATTTATTCTTCTCTTGAAAGGTGGAATGCCCAGAAAGAGGTGGCTGTTGCCCCAGGAGGGTATTGGCCCATTTCACAGGCTTGGATCCAGTTGCTTTTTATTTGTTTGTTTTTAAAAATTGGTCATTTAAACATTTTTTGGATTATTCTTAACCTGTCCCTTTTACCTTAGGATAGGGCTATTGCTCTTTACTTTTTCAATTAAGCCAATTTATGGACTTTTATTTTGGTCACAAGGATCAAACTCTCTCGGCCTCCCGATTACTAGGCAGATACTTATGCCACTGAGCTAAATCCCCAGCCAAAATACATTGGCTTTCCAGAATTTTTTTTGTTTATTTTTTTCTTAGTACCGGGGATTGAACGCACGACCTCGTGCTTGCCAGGCAGGAGTTTACATGGCTGAGCTAAACCTCCGGCCCAACTTTCAGTATTCTGAGGAATTTGGGACATGATGGGTCTGGAAGGAAAGAAGCCTAAATTTACGGAAGGGAATGCTGATATGGATCCCGAAGTTGCAGTCTTTTTAAAAGCTCATTTGTAGTTATGGTTTCCTTGTCTCCGTTCTGTCTTTTATTTCTTCTACGTCAGCAGGATACAGTTTAGTCATCAGAGGCCACGGGACAGTGGGATCCATGAGACAGAGATGGTCCACTATTGTCCTTGTGAAATGCAGCCCTGATGGTTTCGGCAGGTCCCTGCAGTGGCAGGTTCCCTGTCCCCTGCAGCAGCATGTATGTGTATCTGAGCTTCTACAGGCCCTGTCACTGGCTGAACTGTAAGTGGAAGCCCTCACCCAGGCAGGCTGTAGTTAAATGAGACAGGACAGAGGGGCCCTACTCCACTAAGACTGGAGTCCCTACGAAAAGAGAGACGGGAGGGTGGGTACGGGAAGCGGGCACCTGAGGAAGATACAGAGAGCAGGTGGCCCACTCTGCCAGCACCTCGAGTTTGGGTTTTCAGTCTCCACAACTTTGGAAAGAAATTCTGTGTACTGCTTAAGCCCCCAGGCAATGCAAGTTGACTAATACACACTCTAAAGATACGTAGAAAGGAGACAAAGACAATCAGAATTTTAAAATCGTACTTTTAAGAAAAACTGCAAACCAGGTGTGCTGGTGCCCATCTATACTGCTAGTATTTGAGAGGCTGAGGGAGAAAGACCACAAGTTTGAGACCAACCTGGGCAAGTTTGTAAGACTCAGTCTCAAAAAAAAGAGATGTAGTTTAGGGATAGAGCACCCTTGAGTTCTATCCCTATATAGTAATAAACCAATAAATATTAATGTTAAATAAATCAACAACATTAGTACCAATAATTAAACTTGAGCACCGCTGTGGACCTGGCACTGTTATAAAGAGTCCTACCCTGTAATATATATGGCATTTTACATCTACTTTAAAGAGGAGAACTGAGGCATAGCAGGGGTGGAACATTTCTGGTAAAGGAGGGATTCGGTCAAGTTTGGGAGGAAAGACTGGAGCTAGGACAGCGTGGGGAAGAGGACCCATGACCCGAAGGGAAGGTCCGGTCTGCCTGTCAGTCCGCCTAGGAAAGTCAACAGCACAGGGATGGAGTAGCCCTGCCCCCTACGTCTCCATGGCAACGGGCGCCTCCGCACCACGTGGTGTCGCTGAAGATTGTGCGGAAGCCGTCCCGGGCCAGGCGAGGTGGTGGAGAACTGCGGGGCTTTTTAAAGGGCCATCTCCACCGCAGCCGGTGGCCTGGGGGAACTGCTGACGTTGAAGGCTGGGTGGCCCTGAGATCGGGATCCAGGAGGTGGAGGAGAGACAGATGTGTGTGATTCTCCCCTCCCCGTCCCCCGGAAGTGGTAAGAAACGGATCCTTTAAGGAGGAATTGTGCAAACATTCTGCCTGGGCAGTAATGCGATGCCTGCCCAGGAGCAGGGGCAGGGGTAGGGAATTGCCCTTCCGAGCGGTGAGCTGGGACTGTGGGAGAGGGAGAGAGTTAGGAGGGGTCACCCGGCCGGCTTCGGGTAGTTACGCCTCCCATCCTCGCTCTCCACGTTCTGCACCTTCTATCTGTTGGCGTGCTCAGTCATGGCCAGACCTGCGCACGGCTCCGTGATTGTCCCAGACTGGCACGAGACAGTGGAGGGCAAGGAGTACTTGGCCTGCATCCTGCGCAAGAACCGCCGGCGGGTGTTTGGTAAGTCGTCCCCCCCCACCCCAGCCTTGTCACTTGTCGCTCCCTGAGGAGGCCAGTGTCACCTGTTGCGTGGTGGGTGGGGTTGCATAGAAGCCAGGCAGTAAGGCCTTGCTCCAGTGTGCTCCTTGGCCTTGGCGCTCCTGGAAGCCCCATCCCTGGGTCCCCACCCCCAAATCTCCCCCGAGCTGACTCCATTAACAGAGCTAGGAATGTGGAAACTGCCGAAACTCTGCCACCCTGGGCTCACATTTCCCCTCTCAGCTCCACCGCTAGGGGTCCCGCCGGCCCTCAGAAGCTGAGAGCAGTCTCTTTCATCCCTGTCTGCAGTCCGTGATGTAGTCTGTGAGGCTACCAGCCCAGCGGCCCGGGTCAGCTATCAGAGCCCAGGCATGGGTGGGAGACACGAAACTCTGGCAGTCTTGCCAGACGTGATGGCACACACCTGTGATCCCAGACCCTGGGAGGCTGAGGCAGGAGGATAGCAGGAGTTCGAGATCAGCCTGGGCTACATAGCAAGTCCAGGTTAGCCTGGACTGCAAAGCAAGACCTTGTCTCAAAAAATCAAAAACCCAAAACCAAAAAACTTTGGCAGTCTTAAGACCAGGGAAGGAGGGCAGCCCAGTCTAGGATTTTCAGCTCCTCAGTGTTTAGCCCTGTCATTAGTTTTTTGTTTGTTTCCATGAATTTTATTTGTTTGTTTTTTATGCTGGGGATCAAACTCAGGACCTTGCACTTGCCAAGCAGGCACTTATGCCACTGAGCTGTATCCCTGTCTGTTTCCATGTGTGTGTGTGTGTGTGTGTGTGTGTGTAAAATTTGCTGTTTTTTGTTTGTTTGTTTGACACAGAATCTTACCATGTTGTTCACGATAGCTTTCAACTCACTATGTAGCCTAGGCTGATCTCAGATTTGCTGTGATTCTCCTGCCTCTGCCTCCTGAATGCTGGGATTACAGACGTTTGTCACCATATGTTTTCAGTACTTAATACTTACCTTTAGGGCCAGGGACTTAGCTCAGTAGCATAAGCACCTGCCTGGCAAGTGTGAGGTCATGAGTTCAATCCCTGGTGTAAATGAAAAAATACTTACCTTCTCCTTGGGTTTGCTAGTTGTAAGTTTAAAACACCTGTAAAGGTCTCAGTACATTGATTCTATAGGAATTACTTGTAGTAATATAAAAGGGGCTGGGCCCTGGCATTGTGGTGCATGCCTGTATCACCGTGGGGAGGCTGAGGCAGGAGGATCGTTTTGAGTTGCAGGGCGTCCTGGGCTACACAGTGAACTACATAGGGAGACCCTGTCTCAGTAAAACAAGGAGTTTACTGGAATGTGACTCAGCAGTAGAGAGCCCCGGGTTTCAGCCCAGGACAGAGAAAGGGAAGGAGAAAGAGAGAGAAAGAAAGAGAGAAAGATTGTGGACTGTAATTGTGTGTGAGAAATCTAGAACATGTCATAACAGAATTAAACATTTTATGCTTTTTTTTTTTTTTGGTCCCAGGGATTGAACTCATAACCTTGCCCTTGCTAAGCAAATGCTTGAGCCGCTGAGCTAAATCCCTGGCTTATGTATCAAATTTTAAAAGGTGAAGCACAGCTAATAAGTAGAAATAGGTTTTAGTGCATTAACATGAGAGTTGAGGTCGTCTGTGTGTCTTGGGCCTCTGTGAGAACTTCATATGGTCTGTTAGAACTGAAGAAGCCCTTAGATACTGGGTGTGGTGATGCACACATATAATCCCAGCATTGGAAGGCTGAAGCAGGAAGCCTTCAAGTTCAAACCCAGCTGGGGCAATTTAGCAAGACCCTGTCTCAAGATAAACAAAAAGAAGGGATGTAGATCAGTAGTAGGGCACTACTGGGTTTGATCCCCAGCACCACAAAAAAAAAAAAAAAAAAGAAAGAAAGAAAAGAAAAAAGAAGCCCATAGAGATAATGTCATCTGTCCCAGGCCTGCTGAGCAAGTTCAGGACTGACTCCCTGACTACCAGGTTTCTCCCTGCCCAGGGCTGCTTGAGCGGCCACTGCTGTCCCCACCTGTGGCCATTGACACTGCCAGCTACAAGATCTTTGTCTCTGGGAAGACTGGTGTGGGGAAGACTGCGCTGGTGGCCAAGCTGGCTGGCCTGGAGGTGCCCACGGTGCACCACGAAACCCCTGGTGAGTGAGCCCTGCCCAGTGCCATCCTCGGGGACCTTCTCTGAAAGGTCTCTCATTACAACAGCTAGCTAGGGTCTGTCCCCAGGACTCCCCCCCTCCTCTGTGGCCTCAAACAGCCACACTGGCTCCCCTGTCCCACCTGTGCACCAGGGAGTCCTTCAGGGCAAGACTGCTCCTGACATGGGACAGGCCTGTCCCAGCTCAGGGACTGTGCCTCCCACTTCAGATCTGGGGTGCACTGAACCCTGTTCTTTCCTGCTGTCCTATCCCTGTCCACTATCACCTCTCCTATGCTGCACAGCTGACCCTGGTCCTTTCTAGGCATCCAGACCACTGTGGTGTTCTGGCCAGCCAAGCTGCAGGCCAGCAATCGGGTTGTCATGTTCCGCTTTGAGTTCTGGGACTGCGGAGAGTCTGCACTCAAAAAGTTTGACCACATGCTGCCGGTAAGTGGGCTGTGGGCTGGGGCCTGGGGCTCTGGGAGCCTGAGCCAGGCATGAATGAGCTCAGGGTAGAACCCTGAGTCATCAGTGGGACTGGGTCCCAACTGGAACTCCATTCTAGGGCAGCCACTCCTCCTCTGGGCCTCAGTTTCCCCACCTAGCAGAACGAGCTTGTTACTGATTCTCCTGTGTGCCCCACAGCTGATTAGAGGATTCTGGTCCTATGGGTTTGTGGCCATGTGGTCACTTGCCGAGAATTGTCCATCCCTAGGCTTGCAAGGAGAACACAGACGCCTTCCTCTTCCTGTTCTCCTTCACTGACCGTGCCTCCTTTGAAGACCTGCCTGGGCAGCTGGCCCGAATAGCAGGTGAAGCCCCTGGTGTCGTCAGGATGGTCATTGGCTCCAAGTATCCTTTGGGTGGCCCTGGGACAGCAGAGGCTACCCTTGACAAACACAGAGCAGCAGGATCTGAGACCTTGCCCCTGTCCAGCTGTGGGGTCCAGCCGTGGGGTCCAGCTGTGGGCTTTTTCACAAAGGGTGCTACATGGCCACCCCAGTCCCTGGGTGTGGGACCCTGATGGCACAGGCAGCAGAATGCCTGGCCAGGATCCTTGACTGGCCCCTTCCAGATTTGACCAGTACATGCACACGGACGTGCCTGAGCGGGACCTCACCGCCTTCCGGCAGGCCTGGGAACTGCCCCTGCTGCGGGTGAAGAGCGTGCCTGGCCGGCGGCTGGCAGATGGGCACACACTGGATGGCCGGGCAGGGCTGGCCGATGTTGCCCATGTGCTCAATGGCCTCGCTGAGCAGCTGTGGCACCAGGACCAAATAGCAGCCGGCCTGCTTCCCACCCCCACTGACAAGACCCCTGACTGAGAGGTGGTGGCATCATGAGGAGCCCAGGACAGAGGGCAGGACCTTCGGCCTGAGCTAGGGCAGGCATATGGGTTCCATCCTGAGACCTGGCGGGCAAGGTCCCCCTGTAAGGAAGCACCTTCCTGAAGGAAAACATGGCAGTGTGTTCCTTCAGGGCGGGCACAGGACTCCAGGAGAGGGCCCCAGAGTTCAGCTGGGTCCCCACCTGCCCTTCCCCCTTCTGTAGCACCCATGGAGATTGATGGGGGCTCAGCAGCATCCTGGATCTCAAGCAACTTTGACAAAACCTTAGTTGAGGTGACACCATTCACTCTAGCAGATAAACCCTAGAATCCCAGTTGTCCAGCTCTGTAGAATCATTTTCCTCTTGTATAGATCTCACCTCCGGAGGAGAGAAAGTGGATGCCTGTTCAGAGACCGTTCAGAGACCGTGGCATCCCCCAGCTGGCCCTAGGGCACCTACACACAGGGAAAGAGGGCAAGTGGGGAAGGTCCCTGGGCAGCTTCTGTGGGTCAGGCTTAGGCAGAGCACGTTCTGCCCACATCCTTTTGGCCAGCCCATCACCTAATCGCAGGGAGGAACTGAGGTCACCCTCTGGCTCAGGGGGCATGGCCTCCACTCTAGGGCTCTCCTCATCATGAGATTGCCAGGCTGGGCTTGTGAGCCCTGGAGCTAGAAAGCACCAAGGGCAGGGCCAGGGGCAGACCTGGTCAGGTCAGCTGTGAGCCAACCTGAGGCTGCTCTACCCTTGCAAGGCCTGAGAGGACCGGAGCAGGCCCAGCCTGTGTCACCCTGGCTCATCATCTTGATGATACCCTTCCTGCTGCCCCATGGATGAAGCCCTGCCCCGAGTCTGACCCAATTGGGAGGCCCCAAGAACCTAACTACAGTGACCCTCCAAACCAGCTGACCCACAGAGGCACCTTCTGAGCAGGTAGCTCAGCCACTGCACAGGCCACATTTGAATGTGACCACACAACTGCCCCCTCCAGTCGCTGGCATACACATTTTGGGGCTCCTCATTTTGGGGTGCACACCCTACACCCTGGCCCACACATCTGAGAATCTCCATGGCCATGCACACTGGCCTCCTGCTCGCCCTGAACACAGCCCCTGGACTTGTCTGCCCTCCCTGGGTGAATGTTTAGTACCTCCTGACTCCAGCTGATCCCACACTCCTGAATGGGCAGGAGGCTGACACTCAGACCCACAGGCCAGCTGCCAGCCCTGGATCTCAGGGCAATGGTGCATTGTGGGTAGGCCCAGTGAAGGGGAGGGACTGGCTGGGAGCCTCAGCCGCAGGTCCTTGTGTGTTGAGCCCCAGCTCCCCGTGTCTCCCCTAGTGACCTCAGGAGACTAACCCAGACTCTCCCACTGCAAGGCAGCCCTGGGTAGCTCTGCTGTGGTCAGAGGATTGATCCCTCACCTATCATCACCCGGGCCAAGAGGTCCCCAAGGAAAAGCAAAGTCGGAAGGGTCGGTGGAGCTGAACTTAGCCCTGCCACGTCCAAGCTGTGTTCTCAGCCCCTCAGGGCCTGGCCCCAGGGCCACGTTAGCACTCAGTCGGCCACCCACTCAGGCCTCCAGCAGAGGCAGAACTGGGAGCCAGCCAGGCTCCATTAGCTGCGGGCAGTGCCCTGTGGAGGGGACAAAAGAAAATGTACATTTGGGCCAAACTTGTAGAGCTGCCACCCATGCCCACTTTAATATCCTGTTCCTGCTGTCATTCAGATCTTGGTGTGTGAACCTGGCCTGCATTTTCATTCTGCACTGAGCTCCATGAATGATTCAGCCAGTCCCGAACATGATGTCCAGGATGGGTGCCTGAGCCCCAGATGCAGCTCGTCTTCTCAGCCTCGAAGGCAGCTGCTTCTGCAGTGTGAGAGGCCACTGAGAGTGGGGCGAGATGGCACGTGCCTGTAATCTCAGCTGCTCAGGAGGCGGAGGCAGCAGGATGGCAACTTGGAGGCAGGGGCTACTTAGTGGGACCCTAGCTCAGAATTTAAAAATAAAAGGTGCTCGGTGGTAGAGCACCCCAGGGTTAGTCACCCGTACTAAAAGAAAAAAAAAAAAAGAAAAGGTCACCAGGGACTGAACGAAGTAGTAAGCACTTGTGACCCCCAACTACTTAGGAGGCTGAGGCAGGAGGACAGAATTCAAAGGCAGCCTGGAATGCATATGACAACTTGTCTAAGTCAGGGCAATTTAGTGACTCGAATTCGAGGCCAGTCTGTGCTTTGTAGTAAATTCAAGGCCAGCCTGACCTACATAGCAAAACCCTGTCTCAAAAACACAAATAAGTAAAAGGGCTGGGGTGTATGTCAGTGCAAAGGCCCAAGGTTCAATTGCCAGTTCCAGAAAATGAAACAAAGCAAGAGCAGGACCCCCTCTTAAAGGGTGTCAGGAATTCCACCAGTAGGGTGAGCATCATCGCCCGAAGGCACCTTTGAGACTCCCTGGTGAGAAGGGAGGGGTGACAGTTATACCCCCAGGCTGGTTTAGGGGTGGATCCTGAGCTAGAGGACATAAATGGAACAGTGGTGGCCCTGGTCATTTCTCAGGGTCCTGGAGCCTCTAGAGTGAGGATCTGGGGGACCAGAAGGAAGAGAGACTGTCTTCTCTGGGGGAGGACTGGGGTACGTACAGCCAGGCCTACTCCTGGTGTCTCTCAGAGTCAGAATCCGCCAGCCTCCTCCTCTGCCCTCCCTACATCCTACAGACGGGGAGACTGAAGCCAAGGTTGCAGGGCCCGGAAGCAGCTCTGATGTTCCTAGCGCTCTGTACCCCCAACAACCGTGCCTCCAGGCCCTGCCCCTCACAGGCTCCCACCTTGTTCTGCTCTTTGTCCTACAACCTGGGCCTGCTCGGTGCTGGTGACCCCACTTCCCTTCTGTCCCAGCCTTGCCTGGTCACACTGGGCTATGGCAGAGCTCCTGCCTGATCCTGGAGGAGCCTGGTGTGCAGGTGCCAGACATTCAGGTCCTGCTGGGCCAGCAGGGTCCTTTGGTGAGTCCTAGGTAGAGATGAGCATCCTGGTCATGCCCTAGGTCATTTTATTCCCCGGGCAACATGGTGCCAGCTGTGCCCTCCTTATTCCAGGCTCAGACTAGGGGAGGATGGTGTGTGGTCTGATAGAGGCAGGGAGCTCAGGGTCCAGGGCAGTTTGGAGGGTGTGGAGGTGAATCACCCTAGCACTTTAGGGTAAGGCTGGGGCAGTAGGAAGGGACTGGAGCTTTCGGGGGAAAGGTCCAGGAGGAAAACAGAACCAAGTGACCTTGGACTGTCTCTAATTCCCATGTGCCCTGTTGACATATTTTCATGTGGACCAAACAATAGCACCCACTTCTCTGAACTGTGAGGAGTGCAAACACATGAAATGTGTAGCATGGCACCCGGTACCAAATTAAGGGCACAGTGAACGCTGGCACCTGCCATTGTCCCTGTGGTGGTGGTTCTTGTGCTGAGCGCCTTGGTGAGGGGAGAGAGGGGGTGGAGGGCTGGGTGGAGAACCTACTGGGACCTGCAACAGTGCCTGCTGGTGCAGACCACAAATCTGTCTGCACCCCACAGCAGCAGTTATTCCCAGACTACAGGAGCAATTTTCTCCAGAGATGGAAAAACCAAAAACCATGATACCCAGCTGGGTGAGGTGACTCATGCCTGTAATCTCAGCATTCTGGGAGCCTGAGGCAAGAGGACTACAAATTTGAGTTCATCCTGAGCAATTTAGCAAGACTCTGTCTCAAAATTAAAATGATAATCTAAAGAGCCAGGGATATGCCCAGCACAAAGACCTTAGGTCCAATTCCCAGTCACCCAAAAGGAAAAACTCCGTGCGATCTAGGCCAGACCAGTACTCCTGCTTGCCCCCACCTCAGGCTATGGGGGACCCCAGCCACAGGCCCTCTCATCCATCTCTTCCCTCCCCAGGGAACCCTGTACTGTCTCTGGTCCATTTCTTGTCTTGGGATGAACCCTAATCCCTCTTCTCCAGCGCAGTTTCCCTTCACTAGAGCTGCTCGGCACCCAGCACAGAAGTGGGACGGGACGGGGTGGGAGTAGGGGGAGACCGGTCCTAACTGCCCGACCCCTGCATTGGTCTGTGATGGCGGTCCCCCGAAGGGAGCAGAGCTGCAGCTGATCCTGGGTGGCCTTGGCGAGATGAGTTCCCTAGAACCTGGCCGAAGCTCATCTTAAAGCAGCCAGGACAGGATCAGATAGGTCACGGCCGGAATCGTAGGGGAGGGGGTAGTTGGGGGTCTGGTCCCCCTGAAACTCCAGACCTGCAGGAGCACTGAGTGGCAGGTCCAGCGCTCCATTGCAAGTGGGAGATTGTGGGGGGGGGGTGCCAGGGTCAGCCCAGGGGTACAGGATCCCCAGGTACCAGTGACCCTGCCTGGGTCTAGCCTGGCAGGTCTAGCCTGGGCTTGACTCCGGACTGGGCAAGGCTGCTGAGCCAGCGATGTGTGACAAAGAGTCTGCATCGGCCAACAGCCACTGGACCTTACACCTGCGATTTCTGTGACCCAAACTGGACAGGCAGGAGGGGCGGGGCTGGCAGAGGCTTAACCCAGTTAAGGTCACTTGTTCTTTCCTAGCCAGCTTGAGAGGCTCCTCTAGCCAAACTCACCTTAGGGTTGCCCTGTCCCTTCTGAGCCTGGCCACCCCCCAGCACCCCTGCTCCTGATCCCCACCTGTTCCATCTGCCTTAGACACTGTGGTAACTGAAAAACACCCAGCCAGGCTGAGCCCATCCCCAGCTGAGGATTCCGGACTACTGTGATATTAGGCTTAACACTGGGCAGTGGGCTGGGCTCTCCACTCTGCCCACAGATTCCTGGGCAGCAGTTCCCACAATGCCTGCTTCTCCGACAGGCAGAGGCTGCAAGTGGGGAGAAGGTTACTTGACGAGGGTCCAGCAGGGACCTCCAGGGGACAGAAGTGACCCCAGAACTTCTTCCTGGCATGTGGCAGAGATCTCAGCCCACACAGGCCACAGGAAGCAAAGACAGGCTGTCTTAGGCATCGCCTGCTGCAGTTGAGAGAGGCAGGAGGCAGACTGTCCCCAGCTCAGCTGTCCGACACATGGCACTGCAGGGGAAAGGGGAGGATTCTCAGTCTTCCCCACAGTGATCCCTGCTCCTGTCTCTTGCAGCCCCTTTGAACCGCCTGGGTACCAGGTGCCTGTGTAGATACGACCCTTGCCAATTACTGTATCACAGTGGGCTTCCTGGAGGTGCTGGGCCACGTACAAGAGTTCTCTGGGGAGAGGGTGCCCATCCTCCTTGCCTGGCTAGGTGAGTCTGGCAATGGGGAAGGGACTGGGAGCTGGGCTTGGGCACAAAGATAAGGGCTCATGAGTTTTCTACAGGCGGCTGCCCGCTCTGCTGCCCCTGTCTTTATGTCTTGGCTGGCTACAGCACACCAGTGTGGATGGCAGTGGGGAGTTTGGGAGATGGACTGGGTGGGCTGGCTCAGCCGCCTGGCTGAGGAGAGGCCCTCCTAGAATGGGCACCATGTACTGACAGAGGTCTCCGCCAGCACTGGTGCCTTCCTCATGCCCTACTCCGTGATACTTGTGTCACTTGGAATCTTTCTGAGGTCTGGCCTATGGGCAAGGAGGAGGACTAGGGAATGTCTAGGTGTTTGGGGTCTAGCCTGGGCCTGGCTGCTGGGCATGCAGTGCTGACTCTGCCCTGTCCTGTGTCTTGTCTGACTGGGAGGGACCACTCACAGATGAGGTTCTTCAGCATCTTCACACCTTCAGGGCCACCGCCTTCCTGGAGCTCTGGACTGACAAAAGCGCCACCTTGGCCCACTGCTGGTACTGCAGTGACCTGGGTGCCTGAGATGATGCCCAGCTCAGTGCTGCAGGCGGAGACCTCCACTTCCCAGAGTTCCCAGAGACCGTAAAGCATGCTAGGAGGACTCAGGCTTTGGAGATCACCATCCCAGGGTCCAAATCTGGCTTCTCGTGGCACCCGTTGGCTCCCTTTCCCATCTTCAAATGATGTCGGAATGAGATAAGCCTGGGTGGGCAAAACACGGGGAGCGTGCAGGGTCTCAGGTCAAGAGACCTTGCCTGGATGGGGACGAAGGGAAAAAACATTTGCCTCACCCATTCATCCAGACACCCACCACTCAAACGTCTGATCACTGATCCTGGATCCATCCACTTTTCTCCATCTCTGCTGCCGTCCCATTCTCTCACCGGGACTCCCAACAGGTCTCCTGCTCTGCTTGTCCACTTGGTCCAGTCTTGGCTGCCAAAGTGATAGAGTCTCACTATGTAGTCCAGGCTGGCCTTGAACGAGCAGTGATGCTCCTGCCTCAGCCTCCTGAGTGCTGGGATTACAGGTGCCATGCTTGGCCAGAGTCATCTTTCAGAAACAGAAATCATGGCCTGTGTTATCCTGCTCAGAGCCTTCCTGTGGGTTCTCATTTAGGATGCACTTGAGAAACATCAGAGTGGCCTCTGGCTGATTCTTTCAACTGGCCCCACTGGCTCCTGGAATAAGGCAGGGCTGTTTTGATCCCAGGGCCTTGGCACTGGCTGACCTCTGCCATAATCCTCTTCCTCCAGACTTTACATGGTCGACAGGTTGCTTGGGCCTCAGATCCAATAACACCTTCATAAAGAGGTCTCCTTGACCACCAAATCCCAAGAAGTTCCCTGTCAGTGTTTAAATTCATCACAGCTTTTTTCACTGTGTTTTGTTTATTGCCTGTTTTTTGCTGCGAGAGTTTGAGCCCCCTGAGAGCGGAGACCTTGTGTGTGATGTTAACTGCATTACTCCATAGTCACTGCACACAGAAGGTGCTCAACAAACGTTCATTCCATCCATGTATTACCAATCAATCTGGCCCATCTGTCCAGCCATCTGTCTTTAAGCCACTCAAGTTAGGACTATAGGAAAACAGGAACCAAAGTATTTCAACAAAGAGATTTAACCTAAAGTTTGATTAAATAAGTGTTGGAGAACAGGAACAGAAGTGAGAGAGTCACTGTCAGCAGTGCCCCCAGAGAACGCAGTACCAGCTCATGTGGCTCTAGAGGGCCCCTGGCTTGGACAAACTGTGCCCTCTCAAAATGCATCTTCCCCACTGCCCTATACATTTATGTTTTAGATGTCAACAAAAAGGTCATTTCTGCAAGTGACCATCCTTGAGAAAAATGTTCCTTCATAGGACTTACAATTATATTTCTGTGTTCATATGTTTAATGTTTGTCTCCGAGTTTACTGTGTAAAATTCCACTGGGACACAGATTTGTCCAGTTTGTTTACCCCAGAATATCCAGTATCTACTGCAGAGCAGTACACAGTCAGTTCATAGTTATTTGGCTAAACCATCATGTCATCTGTCTAGGCATTCGCCTGTCCACCATCCGAATTCATCCACCTTCCTAGCCTTGTGTCCATCTATCCATCCAATCATCTACCCATCCTCCCATCCATCCATCCATCCATCCATCCATCCATCCATCCATCTACCCATCCACTCATCCACCTATCCATCCATCCATCCACCCAACCATCCATCCGCCCATCCTTCTATCCATCCACTCATCCATCCATTGGTCCATTTTCCCATCCATTCATTCACCCTCCCATCCATCCATCCATCTCTCCATCCTCTCATTCATCTATCCAACCATCCATCCATCTACTCCTCTAACTACCCCGCTCTGTGCTCACTTACAAAGATTCACTGATTATTTGCTTGTTCAGGTTACTCACCTGTTGGTTCACCTACTGCCCCACTCACCCATCAGTCTCTGTAGCCCTCTCCACATGTTCATCTATTTGTTGTTTATATCTCTGTTTACCCACCCATTCATTTATGCACCCATGCATCCATCCTTTCATTCACTGACTTAATCGGCACTGTGAGAAAAGGCTCTGAAACATCAAAAGTAAACCAGGCCTCCTCCCCTGTGGAGCGCTCCCTGTGTAGACAGGAAAATGCCAGGGGACTTCTGCACCATAGGGTGGAGACATCAGCACCTTGGCCACAGGATGCTGGTGCCCACTGACAGGAGGGTCTGTGTGTGGAGTTTGCTGCCCTGGCCTCACAGACGGCCCAGCACTCAGTGATACCTGAAGGAGCCCCACTTGTCTTTCTTGATCATGGTGAGGGGTTTGGGGCCTTGCCTGGAGGACTGGCCTTCACTGTCCTGAAGGGTGTCTCCAGCTCGGGAAGCCCTCCCTCTTGGCTCATAGCTCTGCATCCTGTCCATTTCCCTCACATCTGTCTTAATTCACCATGGCATTATAAGCATCAGAATGGTCCCCACTAGCAACCACGCTCGTGTCTCAAAGGCCAGCGGGAAGTAGGAGCATTTTCTCGACTCCAGGCCCAGCATGGGCCTCCCCACACCTCCACACAGGCGGGCTCCAGGGCGATGGGCAGTCACACTGCCTCGGCTGGCAACACTGCCAGCATCAGGAGCACTGTGCTCAGCTGGTGCTGATACTGCAGTGAGGTCCACCATTTGTCAGAGGCAGGTGAGGACACTCCCACCCCCAACTTCTCTCTCTGCCCCAAGGCTGCTGCCTCCCAGTCAGCCGATCCCGTGGTGTGACAGCATGCTTGGCCACCAGAGTCTTGCTGTTGGCCTTGAAGCTGGCTTCTGAGTTCCCCGGGCCAGAACTGTCTCCATTGCACCTCACCAGCAGGGATGACAAGCAGTGGGAGCACTGATGGCTGCCTTCAGCCTGCATCCGGCCCTCGCTGGCGTGCCCCAGGCCTGCCACCCCTACTTGCTCCAGCTACAGGTTTGCTTCATCCTCATCTTTTGTGGGGGCTTCCGTGCTGCACACCTTGGGCTGAATGCTGGGCACCCGGAAGTGAGTTAGGGTTGCCCTTCCCCCCACCCCAGGAGCTTCTAGTCTAATGAGAGCTGATTCCCAGGAGACAGGGTTACTGTGCAATTGTGGTTGCCATTGCTGGGATGGAAAGCGGATCAGCAGAACCCACTACCTGGTACCTTGATTCTGCCTTTCTCAGCAGACCATAGGAAGTAAAGGCCATGATCCAAGGAACCTGGACTTTGGGGCTTGGGCTGGACAAAGCCTTTCATCAGTCCTGTCAGCAGGGTTAGCACTCAGTGGGGAGGAGGGCAGAGGGCCAGGAGCAGTGGGGCGGGGGATCAGCCTCGGTGTGGACATCAGCTGTGGCCGGGCTGCAGAGAGGGCACAATGCCAACAGGGCTGCAGGTTGATGGGGTACCAGGAGTACCCTGGGTACTGACTCTTGGAGGGGATGGGAGTCACTTCATCTTCAAGTGGGCAGGGGCAGGATCTGATTCTGGGTGTCCAAGGTGGGTGGGAAGATGAGCAGGTGGCCAGCCCCAGGCACCCACAGGGAGGTGGAGCTGACCCTATGCAGCCCCAAGCCTGACGAGGGCGCCCTATGTCTACAATAGCGCAACCCTGGCTGCCTCCTGTTGCTTGCTCAGCAACTCTGAGTCGCCAGGGCCATGCAGTTCATCCCGCTGTGAATGTGGGAGACAGGGCTGGGCCTAGGCAGGCTTTAGGAAGGGCAACGAAGAAAGCAGCCTTGATAGGGAGTCAGCAGTCGGGCCAGGTCCTAACCCTGCCTCTGGTGAGCCATGTGGCTTTGCTTCTCTCTCAGCCTCGGTTTCCTCACCTGTACAATGGGGACGATAATTCTTCTCCAGGAGAGCTAACAGCATCATGCCATGCACAACAGGAAAAGAGCTTTGCAAACTGAGGGCTTCTATTATTATTTGGGGAGAGGTGTTCCAGAGACCAGGAATGATCATGTAGGAAGCACTGAGTTCCAGCCCAGAGTTCAACAGACTGGAACTGAGTCTTGGCTTTACCACTCACAATTTGGGGAGCCTTGGGCTCTGTTTGCTCATCTGTAAAGTGAAAATGATCATGGCGTTTACTTTTTTTCTTTGCAGTACCTGGGCCTTTTCGTGGAGCTGTATTTCCATTCCATTTTTAAATGTTGAGATAGGGTCTCACTAAGTCACTAAATTGCCTTGGCTGGCCTCAAACTTGCAGTCCTCCTGCCTCAGGCTCCCAGAGTGCTGAGATTACAAGCCTGCACGACCATGCCCAGCTTGAGGTGTCTCTTTCCAAGGAACATTGGGGAAAAAACCGGCAGTTTCTGGCACAGGTTGTTGTTTTGACCTTTTTCTGGTCTCCCTGGCCCTGCTGGAGGCTCAAGCCTGGCCAGGGTCTGGGCAGCTGGGCGGGCAGCTGGGCAGGCAGCTGGCAGGGCTGCCGCACATCCAGATGAGGCCGGATCCGGGCGATAGGTGGACCAAGAGCTCATCCGGTGCTAAGGCCAGTTTGATGAAGACCTGTGGATGCGTGAGCAACGGCCCAGCCCTCTCGGCACAGCGGGAGGTGGCCTCAGCCTGACACCTTCGGCCTCCTGGAGCTGTAATTTGGATTCTTCATCTTTGTGGCTGCCTTCCCGCTGGCGCCCTCCGTTCGCTTGGCCCAGTAGATGGGTGCAGATCTGACTGGGACTCAGGGCACCTTGCCGTCGCCCAGAGCCTGCGAGTGGTGGGGGAAGAAGATCAGAGACTGGTGCAGGGGCTCAGGGACAGGGAGAAAGGGACAGAGGTGGGGAATCAGGTTCAGAGTTTTGGGACATCAGAGGGCTAGCTACCAGTACCGGTACAAATACCACAGGCAGCTGCGCGGCTCCGTCAGTTTTCGCTGGCGCCGTCTCTGGCCCCGGGCAACCGCACACCCGCAGGTGGGAGCTGCAGATCCCGCGGGCCCGCCAAGTGCAGAAGGGCGCGCGGAGGATGGGGCCTGTCCTGGAGGGGCGGGGCTCTGGGTTGGGGCGGGGCCTGTCCTGGAGGGGCGGGGCGCTGGGCTGGAGGGTGGGGCCTGTTGCGAGGCGCGGTTCTGCGAGGAGGGGTGGGAGAGGCGCTGGGTCCGGTAGGAGGGGACCTAGCTGGACCGCAGGAAGCTGAGTCGGCCCGGCGGACAGTGGTGCCCAGTGCACTGGAGCTCCGTTTAAAAGAGCCAAGCCGGGTTCCAGGGGCGGGGAGGAGACGGGAGTGCAGGGCTCAGGGTCACCTCCAAAAGCCCCCCACCCCGAAGAGCTCAGGCCGGGTGCGAAGCTTCGCGAAGCTCGGGGAGCCTCGCCCTCCTCCACTGCAAGCTGCTGGCTGCGCGTCTGTCTGGGCGTCGTCCCCGCCTTAGAGGTAGGCTCCGCCTCTGTCTCGGACAGAACCGGTTCGAGTTCAGACTCGGTCGCCGACCTGCTGTGAATGGATGAATTATATAATAGGATGTTCTTTATAGGGTCGTTAGGAAGAGTCGTGTCAAACACTTGCACAATGTAGGCGCTCAGTGTATCATTATCACTAATAAGAATACTATTATCTCTTGGCAAAAGACCTGAAGCCAGAGAGGAAGTTGTTCGCTCAAGCTTTGCTTAAAACCTTCTGTCGCCAGCTCGGGCTCTAACGGTGCCAAAGGGTTCACATCGTATTTCTGTGTTTGGGAACAAATGACAACCCATTATGCTCTGGCTTGTTCATCTGTAAAACGGGAGTATAAATGACAGTTAAATGAATTTTAAATCTCAGAGTTCGCACCGTGCCTTGCACTTCATAAGTGCTCCATAAATTAAGACTGCTAGCCAGGTATGTGGCGCAGGCCTGTAATCCTAGCACTCTTGGGAGGCTGAGACAGGAGGATTGCAAGTTCGAGAGGGGTAGGAAAAAAAAAAGGTTGCGAATGTAGCTCGGCACGAAGGCTTTGGGTTTAATCCCCAGCAACCGCGCGTGGGCGCTACCAGGCCAAGCAGGCGGTGATAGGTAGACTAGTAGGGGGAGCCTTGCTTTGGATCAGCGAGCCCGCCAAGCCTAGCCCGACCTGCACCCCACTGACTGCGCCCCTTAGCCAGCCCTCTTTGGTCTCGCCCAGTGGGATTGGTTGGATTCGCTGGTTTCCACCGTTCTCCCTCTGCTCGGCTCCGCCCTTTTATATACAGTGTTCCAGCGCTGGGTAGGAGGCTTTGTGCTTGGGGGCCAACCTTCTCCCCCAACCTGACCAAGCATTTCTGTCTGCAGAATCAGGGGTGGTGTTCCCCAAGCTCAAGACACAGGGGCAGCAAGTGAAGACCCTAAGTCCTCCAGGACCCTCCCTTGCTTGGGATCCTCTGGCTTCCAGCTGGGAGTCCAGGCAGTGTCTTGGCCCAGGATGAACTGGTTAGAGCTCTCTGAGTTCCCTGCCTTCCACTGTCTCTGTGCTGAGGACAATTAGCCTATGTCTGTGTCCCAGCAGGCGAATTTCCACAACCACCTGGTCCAGACCCACCCTGGCAGTGTCTCCTTACGGTGACACTGCTGGAGTAGGATGGGGTGTAGAGCGATTCAAGGAAGCAAAGGGATCCCAGTCACCCAAGCCAGTGGCCATCAGGTGGTAGTTCATAGGAATCGGGGCCATAAAGCCTCTGCTTGTACGCTCATGGGGCCTCTAGTGTTTAAACCATAATCAAAGGGCTTAGCTGTCTACTGAGTTGTCCCTCAACTGACTTCCACAGTGCTCCCCAGACCTTCCCACGAGCCTGGGAAGGCAATGACCTGGCAGAGGTTAAGGGCACAGGTTGTCGGCGCAGTCAGACAGACCTAGGTTTCAGTGTTAGCTCTTAGAAGACCTTGGGCATTTTATTTAACCCCTTGAACCTCAACCTCATTGGCCTTAAACTTGGGACATCACAGAATTAATGAGAAATTCCAGAGGGATAATGCGGGCAATTTCCCTGTGCAAGCACCATGCTTGGTTGCTAAGTGGCTACCGTCACAGTGTGTGCCTCCCAGGCCGAGGTGGAGATTAGATGAAAGATGCATGTGCAATGCTCAGAGCTGTGCCTGGTATACAGCAAGTGTGCAAGAAGAGTTACCAGCAGCATTTGCATATGTGCTAACATTGGTGTTACATGCTTGGTATTTGCAGACTGCTCAAATAAATGCAAGTAAGAGGAAGAGCAAAATGACTTCCTTTTCCCCAGGCTTGGGATGGGAAAATTGCGTACCTGGCACAAGGCAGGGTGGATTTTGGCTATTCAAATCGTGCTATTGAAGACTCAGGCAGTGTGGCAGTCTGGGAAGGTTTGCGTGGTAGAGGCAGCTCTGGGAGATGGGAATAAGTCATTGCAGGCAGAGGGAAAGAGCGGGTGGTCTGTGAGAGGTAGCCTGCTAGAAGGGCTGTCCAGGGCAGTGCCACGTGCCACACCTCTAATTTTCAGAATTGATTTCCATCTCGAAATAGCCACTCAGCGAGTGTTCCAGCTTTACAGATGCTCCGGGAGGCTCAGCCTTGGTCTCGGGGTCCCGATCACTCCCAGACTTGCTATGTTCTCTATCAGCTCCCAGGATGGTTCCTGCCCCCCGTCAGTCCCCTGAGTACACCTGACATCTGGGTAGCCCTAGAAGAGGGGTGACCTGTCTCCTCAGACCAGAAGCGGTGCCTCCCCCATCTCTAAGGGGTCTGGGGTCCCTCAGAGCTTCTCCCAGGCATAGGACTCCCATTGTTCCAGCCCCCCTCTCGTACCCCAGACTGGCCAAACCGGTTCTGGGAAGGGGGGCGGGGAGCAGGCACGTTGAGACAGCCGCCTGCCTCTCCTCTCCGAGAGGTTCCCTCCGCCTTCGCCTCCCCCTCCCTGCCCCACACAATACCCCGAGCTGGCGTTGCTGTCTCAGGGGCCATGCTGACATCGCCCCCTGAGGACTTGGCTGCATCCCCAGAGCCCCCAGGGTGGCCTGGAGCCCTGGACTGTGCCCGCAGCTGGACCGAGCTCCCTGGCTGAGGTAGGCCCCACGTCCTCCTCCCACAAAGTTTCCGAGGGAGTCCTTTGTGCTGCCTACTTGGCTCTGATCCTGTCCCCTTCGACTTATGGCCTCCTGGACCGCTGCGGACCACTTGCCCGGATTCCCTTTCCAGCCATGACCTTCCACTTGATTTTGCCCTTTTGGAGGCAGAGGGGCCCTTTACCTCTGGGTAACAGGGCAAGAGGTGGGGGCAGGAAAAAGAGGTGGGCGCATGGGCCTAAGGTGCTTTGCTGAACCACAGTAGTGTCCAGCACTCGCTCCTCCAGCCTCGCCAAGTGGGCCTCTACCTGCTGTGGTGAGCAGTGCCCACTGGGCAGGATTCCCCTTGGCCCCTGCCCATCCTTCTCTGCCTGCAGAAACACTTGTGATGATTCAGGATCCTGAAAGGGGGCCTTCAGGGTCACTTTACAGGTGGGGATACTGAGGCCCAGGGTCGGGCCGGGATTTGCTGAAGGCCTCCCAGAGCTGGTCAGTGTCAATATGGGGCCTTCAGCCTTGGACAGTGCTTTTCTTTTGGGCTCCAGAATGGCCCTTGGCCAATGGGCACTGCAGGCTCTGTGATCATGTCCCGGGCAGTCATGTCTCTGCTGCCAGTTCTGTTCTTGAGGTGTTACTTCTTTCTCCTCTTCCTCTTCTTCTTTTCTCCTCTAATAAAAGTGAGCTACACACAGTATGAACCAGCTCTGCTCCTACTTGATACCCAGCATGGAGGTTAGATGAGCTACCTCCCCGAAAGCCACAGGCTGGCATCCCAGCTGGATAGATCATTCCCATCACCTTGGCCAGGCCTGGGTGGAGGCTGACTCACTCCCGACCTCCCCCTGGACACCTCCCTCCAGCCCTGTCTCCCCAGAGTGCCCTCTCCCTTCCCTCTCCTCACAGGCACCCTGATTTCATCCCCCAGAGGCCTGGCCTAGACTGGGGTTGCCTCTGCCCCAAAGGCTCAACGGTTTGCTAACTTACCCCTGTAAAGATGAGTGTCCCTGTCTGCCTCCCAGGCACTTCCAGAACCCAAGAAGACAGAAGCTCCCAGAACGCAAGGAAGCAGACGCACATGTTCACACCTGCACGCTGCTCCCTGATGTGGGGCTTGTGTCTTGGGTCTGATCCATGGGGGAAACAGACCTGCTGGAGGGCAGAGCCCTCCTGTGACCCTTTCACATTCTCCTATGATCTGTGTCTTCTCCATCTGGCCATCTCCCACTAGAGAAAGACTGATGACAGTAATACTCCAAGGAATGACTCTCAAGAACAAGACTGCCACTCTGCAGTTTAGCTTGAACCTGTGATCCTCCTGCCTCAGCCTCCCGAGTAGCTGGGATTACTGGCTTGCACAATGATAGTTCTACACAAACTATCATGAATTCTTACTTTCGTGTTACAGAGTTGACACAACACTACTATTTCCCAGATGAGGAAACCAAGACTCTTGGAGGTGCAGAGGTCAAAGGTCCAAGCTGTCTCCATAGGGAAGCCCCTTGGGAGCAACTGGCACCCCCTACCCCCACCTCCCCGCAGGCCAGAGAACAGCAGTCCAGGGACTGAGCAGAGCAGAGACCCTGCCGCCTCTCACCGGGTCCTGTCAGTCCAGGAATCACTTCCTATCTATGTGCACTGGGTCCCTGGGAATTTCAGCCATGAAGCAGCAGCCATTGTCCACTCCCGGAAGCCTTCCCGGATTGGAGTGCCCAGGTTGGAAGGGCCCAGCACCCTACTGGGATGGTGCCCATTGCGTAGCTCTCGCCAGTCTGCATTGTAACTGCTTTTGTTCTTGGCTCCTCCACTAGGCTGGCAACCCCACGGGGCATGAATTGTTTGTCCACCCGTCTGGGGTTTTTCCTGGGCTCCACATCTGTCTCTGAGTACCCACTTGAAATCTCTGTCCCTGTCTCTCTGTCGCCATCTCTGGGTCTCTGCTTGTCTCAGCAGATGCGGTTTTGCTGGTTTCCACTGTTTCAGGATCTCAGTTTCTGAGCTACTGTCTAAATGGTCTCTGAATGATTCTCTGGGTCTCCTTCTGCCTCTGTCTCCTGGGTCTCCCGGCCCTGCCGGGCTGGGCAGTGCCCTGAGATCCGAGGCGGCCCTGGGGGAGTCCTTCTGCCCGGCCTGCCCACAGCGAGGCCAGCCTCGGGTAGGCCCCCGCCCAGCCCACTGCCGGCTCCCTCCTCCTCCCTGCTCGCTCACCACAGGGCTTGATGAATCAAACTCTTTGTCTGGGTGGGATGTCCCCCAGCCAGCTGGGCAGAGAGAGGGCTTCCCCTGTGCAGCGGCCCAACGGCACCGGCAGCGGCTTGGTGGCTGGAGAGGTGAGGGGCAGGGGGGGGGCTGAGGGGCAGAGGCTGTGGGGGCTTGGACCCCTGGGATCATTACCCTGTGCCAAGGCTCTGGCAGCTCCCTGGGGTGAGGTCTTGCCCAGAAAGGACTCAGCCTGGCTGGATCCAGGGCTAGGAGGTGGGATGGGGGGAAACCCCTCTCTTACCCAAGCGGTGGCAGGAGGTGGGGTGGCAGTGGGGGAGCTGAGCCACCTCTCAGCTCTTCTGGGCGGCCCAGCCTGATTTGGGTGGTGGCCTGCCTGCCAGCCTGTGGCCCTCCCAGCCAGCTTGGCATGGGTGTGGGCATCACTCAGCACAGAAGGCCGCAGCTCAGGGTATGGGGGGGGGTAGTTGGGCAGCACCAAAGGGAAGGATGTGTGGGCCTCTGTGTTTGTGTCAGTCACTAGGCATCAGGAGAAAGCCGGGTGCCTGTGCCACTGTCAGATGGGTCAGTGCATGCATTGAGGAGGAAGTCCATGTGGATGTGCATTTAAAAAGTGTAAATGCTAACAAGTGTGTGTTTCTAAATGTGAGCCTGACTTAAAAGTGTGTCAGTGTGTGTATTTGGGAGAAAAACGTGTAGATGGAGATGTGCATTTCAAGTGACAAGCCTGGTTCTCATCACCAAATAGCTACCTTCCTCCCCCTCACTTTCCTCACCTGTAAAATGGGATAACAACAGCATCGACCAGCAGGGTCGCTGTGATGATTAAATGAGGTGATATGTGAAAACGCTGGCTGTCATTTAGGCAGGGCCAGTAAGTATTAGCTGTTACTAGTCTTCCCATAGGTGTGTGTGCACATGCATGCACCAGGCTTTGTCCAGGCCTCCTGAAGGTGGTGGCTTACTGGCCAGCACTGCTCTCCTGTGTCTGGGTCTGATACCGTCTCCCCTGCAGGCCCAGGTGGGTGGCAGAGCAAAGTCGGAATGGACTGTGGGCCACCTGCGACCCTCCAGCCCCACCTGGCTGGGCCACCTGGCACTGCCCGCCGCCCAGTAGCTGTGTGTCAGCAGGAGAGCCTGTCCTTTGTGGAGCTGCCTACCCTACAGCCTCTGAGTCCTGTGTGTCTGGACCTTTTTCCTGTTGCCCCAGAGGAGCTACGGGCTCCTGGGAGTCGCTGGTCCCTGGGGACCCCTGCCCCTCTCCAAGGGCTGCTATGGCCCCCATCCCCAGCAGGCCCGGATACCGAGATCTCCATCAGCGCAGGGATGCGGCCCAGCAGGGCTGGCAGCTGGCCCCACTGTCCTGGAGCCCAGCCCCCAGCTCTGGAGGGACCCTGGCGTTCTCAGCACATACAGCCGCAGCGCCGGGCCAGCCACGGCTCGGAGAAGAAGTCAGCCTGTGAGTCACCCTGGTGGGGTAGCCAGGGGAAGGATTGGGTGGCTCTTTCAGAACCCTTTGAATCCCAGAGTTCCCTGAAAGGAAGGTCAAGTGGTAGATTTTAGAGATAAGGGAACAGGGCTCAGGGAGGTGATATGTCCAGTGTTACACAGGAGGTCAAGCTGTCCTGGACATCCTGATCCCTCTGTGTACCCCAGGCCTGTGCTGTCTCTCTCTTATTGATCCCATTGCCCTGGCAACTGGATCCTGGTAGAAACCTCAGCCTATCCTTAAGCCATGAGGCCTAAATGTCCCGCAATGCCCAGAAACATGGGCAGCAGCAGGGAGGTTGGGAGAGACCCCAATGGTACCAGCCCGTGCCCTTCCTCCACTGCCAGGGCGCAAGATGCGGGTGTACCAGCGTGAAGAGGCCACTGGCGGCCCAGAGCCCCAAGCTGTCTTCCTGGAGCCTGGCCATGCGGCACGGGAGCCAGCCCTACACGCCGAAGAGCCCAGGCCGGTGGAACTGTCCGGGACCCCCAGGCAGCTGGGCCTGGAGGGGACTGAGCGGAGGCGCTTCTCGGCCTCTGAGCTGATGACTCGGCTGCACTCTTCCCTGCGCCTGGGCCGGAGTTCCGCAGCCAGGGCACTGGCCTCTGGGGCAGGCACTGGAGCAGGACGGGAAGGTACAGCAACTCCCTGGGACCCCGGAGCAGCCCGTGAGTCATGGCAGGGTGGCACATGGCCCACTCACTGGACACTCAGCTGGGCGTGGGGCACCATGTGCAGGCTACTCCCTGGACTGCCCACCCTCAGCTCTTGCCTTCTCCAGGGAAAGCATCTGGAAGAGAGTCTCGAAACACAGAGATGAGGGGGGACAGTGTGGCCGTGCCAGCACTTGTTGACCCGAGCCAGGGCCATGGCGACTGGCCAGAGTCCAGGTAACCACCTTCCCGTCCAGGCGGTGTCCAAGGCAGGGTGCATGCAGACAGATGAAGGCTCTGACAACCTCTTTCCTAGGCTGGACGCACAGGAAGAGCTGTCTCCCGACCCCAAAAGCGACAACGAGCGGCGGCAATCGCGATTTCTCCTTAACTGTACGTGGACAGGGTCTCTGGGAAAGGCTCATAGGATACGAACCCGGGTGTGGAACTGGGGAAACCGGGTTAGGGAGACCTGAGAGGCGGTGATCTGTAAGAGCAGAGCAGAATTCTCAGTATTTAGCTGGGACCTGCACGCAGTTGGTGCTCCATCGGCGTGGAGAGAATAAATGAGTGAATGAATGAATGAATTCCCCGCGTGGGCACCCGGAACCCCCGCGAGGCTTCACGGGGCGGCCCTGGGACCCGGCCGCCCCGCAGCCCATCCTCACCCCCGCCCCCACCCCAGCCGTGCTCTACCAGGAGTATAGCGACGTGGCCAGCGCCCGCGAGCTGAGGCGGCAGCAGCGCGAGGAGGAGGCCCCCGGGGACGAGGCGGAGGGCGCGGAGGAGGGGCCCGGGCCGCCGCGCGCCAACCTCTCCCCGAGCAGCTCCTTCCGGGCGCAGCGCGCGGCGCGCGGCTCCACCTTCTCGCTGTGGCAGGACATCCCCGACGTGCGCGGCAGCGGCGTCCTGGCCACGCTGAGCCTGCGAGACTGCAAGCTGCAGGAGGTGGGCCGCGAGCCGGCGGAGGGCACGGGAGTCGGGTGGTTCTGACTTAGCGGGGACCGGGCCATGTCCAGGCGGGGTGGCAGGGTTGTCACCGCAGAGGGCGGTGGGGGCCAAGGTGGAGAAGCGGGCCGAGGTGGCAGGAAAGGGGGCGGGGCATGGGCGGGGCCGGGCTGTACGGTGGGCTTGAAGGGGCGGGGCTAGGGGCCGACGGACCAGTGAACGGCCCCTCGGAAGGATTAGGGCGGGTTGGTGGGCGGGGCTAGTAGAAGGGACGCGGGTTTGGCGCTCCCTAGGGGTTTGTAGATTTCCGGTGCCAGGAGTTGGGGGATTGGCGATTAGGGTTCAAACCAGGGTGCTTTAGGATGGGGAGAGTCAAGGACAAGGTCCAGCTGGGCTAGACTGACCCTTAGAACCCTGCATCTTCTCTCCTTCAGGCCAAGTTTGAGCTGATCACTTCGGAGGCCTCCTACATTCACAGCCTGTCGGTGGCTGTGGACCACTTCTTGGGCTCCCCCGAGCTGAGTGAGTGTCTAGGGGCGCAGGACAAGCAGTGGCTATTTTCCAAACTGCCCGAGGTCAAAAGCACCAGCGAGAGGTGAGGCAGTGATCTGAACTGGCCGGGGTGGAGACGGAGCCTGTGGCGGATGGTAGCCCAGATCTGGGTTCTAGGCCCTGGCTCAGAGACCTGACACCCCCACCGCACCCAGGTTCCTGCAGGACCTGGAGCAACGTCTGGAGGCGGATGTGCTGCGCTTCAGCGTCTGCGACGTGGTGTTGCGTCACTGCCCGGCCTTCCGCCGCGTCTACCTGCCCTACGTCACCAACCAGGCCTACCAGGAGCGCACCTACCAGCGCCTGCTGTAGGGCTGGGGCCTGGGGCAGGGGAGTCGGGGAGGGAGAGGCTGGGGCAGATGTTAGCACAGAGGACTGGGTGGAGCGGGGCCCCGGAAAGAGGCGCTGTGCCCAAGATAAGTGGCAGCTGAAGAGCCCGGGGGGGGGGGGTAACGATGCGGTCCTGGCTCCCACGCGTTTAGGCCCACCTGGCACTCCAGACCTTTCTCCCCTTTCCAGGCTGGAGAACCCCAAGTTCCCTGGCATCCTGGCCCGCCTGGAGGAGTCTCCCGTGTGCCAGCGGCTGCCCCTCACCTCATTCCTCATCTTGCCCTTCCAGAGGATCACCCGCCTCAAAATGCTGGTGGAGGTATGTGGGGGAGGGGCAGCTGCCTGGACCGGGAGTCGCGTGGCCAGAGGCGGGGTCACAGGGAGCCCAATATTCCCTGCTTGAATCTGCCCTTTAGAATATCCTGAAGCGGACAGCACAGGGCTCCCAAGACGAAGACATGGCCACCAAAGCCTTCAATGGGCTTAAGGAGGTGAGGTCGGCTGGGTGGGCGACTGCGGAGCTCCGGAGGGCTCCGCAGTCGCTGGCCTGAGGCGGGGCTCTGGCAGGGCAGCTGGGGGGACTGCAGGTGACCTGCCCCCGCTCCTCTCAGCTGGTGCAGGAGTGCAATGCCAGCGTGCAGTCCATGAAGAGGACGGAGGAGCTCATCCACCTGAGCAAGAAGATCCACTTTGAGGGCAAGGTGTGTGCCTGCAGCTGGCGGGATGGGCACAAGCCACTCCTGCTCTGTCCTCCCCCTGCCCAGCCCTTCACTGCCCACAGCCTCCTGACCCAACCTGTGCCCTTCCCTCCTCCTCCTCAGATCTTCCCGCTGATCTCTCAGGCCCGCTGGCTGGTCCGGCACGGGGAGCTGGTGGAGCTGGCACCGCTGCCCGCAGCGCCGCCTGCCAAGCTGAAGCTGTCCAGCAAGGCAGTCTACCTGCACCTCTTCAATGACTGCTTGCTGCTGTCCCGGCCGAAGGAGTGAGTGGGGGAGGAGGTCAGGGGAAGCAGGTGGGATCCAGGCTTTCCTTTTTCTCCCCCACTGGGCTGAGCACCCAGGGGGCCAGCCAGGCCGGGCTGCCAGGGCACCCTGAGCCTTGACGGCTCCCACGGGGTTGGTCCACTTTCCAGGTGGGAGTCAAGGACTGACTGTGCTGTCAGCTTGGGCCAGTGAGAGCAGAGAGGGTCCAGCCTGGAGGGCTGCAGCTCTGCGCTGCTCAGCACCTGTCTGTGCCAGGCCAGCAGCGGGGACTGCCCTCTTCGCCCCTCCACGGCCCTCACGATTTTGGGGAGACTTCCTTGCTACTCTGAGGCCAGGAAGCCCTGAGGGAGAAGCCAGGAGGTGGCCGGCTCTGTCTGGTGCCTTCCCTCTACCAAAGAGATGCCACGTGGGGAAATCTGGCATGATGGCTCAGCTTGGGGAGCCCTCGCTCCATCCCAGCCAGGACAGTGCCGAGAGGCGGGCTGAGGAAGAGGAGTTCCAGGATGGGATGGTGGGACATCGTGAGCCATGTGGGGGCATAAATATGAGCCTGACTCCCTCCCAGCCTGCAGAGTGATGACCACACCATTGAGGTTTGATGAAGGTGTACTGAGGTGGCCCCTATGTGGGAAGCAGCAACGCTTCACAGAGCAAGGGACATTTGAGCTGGGTTTTAAAGGGTCAGAGCTTCCCAGGGAGAGAGTGGTTTTGAGGAGGGAGTGCAGTGAAGTCACGGTAGAGTCTGTTTGGGGACTCGTAGAGAAGGCAGGAGAGGGAAATCGGGGTGTTGAAAGTCATAGTAAAGAGATTAGATTGTTCTGAGGATAGCGAGGAGCGTGGACCGTGACAGTGGAGTGACATGTTGCTTCTGGCCAGCTTGGGAGATGGGCTAGAGCGGGAGAGGCCAGATGCTCTTGCCTGTGTGAGTGTAGGTGCCGTCCCTGTGGCAGGAGTCTCGGGGTGAGTAGACGCTGGGGACAGTGAGGAGGAGGAAATCCAGTGTCACCGTCTGCTCCCATCAGGATGAGCAGGGAGGAGTTCTACTCCCTCGTGGGGACGTTGCTGGCTTCTCGGGATGTGGTGCCCTGGGTAGCCACACTCCCCTGGGGAGGCTGCTGGATGGGGAGCCGTCATCTGGGCCCCCGGGTGGCACAGGGAGCCCAGCCCAGGCCAGCTGACCTGCCTCCCTGTCCTCAGGCTGGGGAAGTTCGCTGTCTTTGTCCATGCCAAGATGGCAGAGCTGCAGGTTCGGGACCTGAGCCTGAAGCTGCAGGGCATCCCTGGCCACGTGTTCCTCCTGCAGCTCCTGCCCAGGCAGCACGCCAAGCACCAGTTCCTGCTGAGGGCCCGCACAGAGTGAGTGGGGCTGGGGATGGGGAGGCAGGACCTCTGGGTGACACCAGCCTGGGGATACCTGCAACCCCCACGGGCCTGGTGATCCCCTGGCCTGGGCAGAGAACAAGGCCATTGGGCAGAGGAGCGTATGCATCCTGGCAAGAGGTACAGGGTGGGGGACAGCCGAGGGCGCGGCACTGGCCTTCTTTACCTCTGGCTTCAGGGTGGTGGTGTAAGTCAGGATGTGGGCAGTGCTGGCATCCAGGAGGTCCTGGGCTTGTTCTTGGGCTCCGGGCTGGGTGGGGCACTAGGGTTGGGCCCTCGGGGTGGAGTGAGCCTGCCTGGGTCCTTGGTCTACACCTCATCCCCAGATCCCCCAGCCCTGGACAGCTGTGCTGTGCATGTTGTGACAGCATGATTTCCCTCCCCAGAAGTGAGAAGCAGAGATGGATCTCAGCCCTGTGCCCCTCCACTGCCCAGGAGGACAAGGAGGTCACCAGTGAGGGAGAAGGTAGCATCCCACTGCCCCTGCTCTCCCTATTTTCCCCGAGCCGTGGGCGTGGAATGGGGGCAGACTCTCTGGTTTGACCTGGGAGGCCCACTTCACCAGAGAAGTGAGCCCCCTACTCTGGACAGGTGTCAACAAAGTCCGCTGGGAAATAACTCTTGACCCTAAAGGATGAGGACGGGTGGCACAGTTACCAGTGCAAAGGCCCTGAGGCAGGAAGGTGCTGGGGGTGGTTTGGTGGCAAGGAGGCCTGCGTGGCTGGACCAGCATTTGCAGAAAGGAGGAGGGGTGGAGAGGAAGCGGGCAGGGGGACAACACCAGACCATGCAAGGCCTTGTGGGCCTGTGGAGGACTTTGGAATGGGAAGGTTTTAAACCAGGGAGTCATGTGGCTGGAATCAGGGTTGAGGACACACAGGTGGGAACATCATTGCAATGCTGGTGTCAGGGTCACTGTCTGTGTGGAGAGGGGAAGGCAACAGGACATGGGGTTAGAGGTCAAGAGCAGGTTGTTGCTCTGAGCTGGGAGGTGAGAGTCCTTGGCCAGAGCAGGAACCCGAGCCAGCAGAGAGTGGGAGACTCCACCCAGCTTGCTTAGGGTGGGCGGGGCCAGCAGGCAGGTGGACAGGGGACCACTGACCCTCCCTGCGGCGGCAGACCACCCCCAGGTTCAGTGTGTCAGGACATACAAGGCCCTGCAGCCTGACGAGCTGACCCTGGAGAAGACAGACATCCTGGCCGTGAAGACTCGGACAAGTGATGGTGCGTGGGGCCTCCCCGGCTCCTCCCTGGCCGGGCTGGGGTGGCAGGAGGTGGCTCCATGGCAAAGACATCCCAGGGAAAGGTTGTGCCAGCATAGATCAGCCACAGCCCGTGGGAGCCAGGCTAGACAAGAGGAAGGACTTCCTGCATGGAAAGCAGCAGGTAGAGTGGCGGGGGAGAGTGGGAAATACCCTCCTCAGGACGCCGGGAAGCGCAGGTCACAAGTTCAGCCCCAGCGGCAGGGCACTTCCTGGAGCCGGTGAGGCCATCATGAGGTCACCAGGCCCTGGGCCACTCCCAGCCCTGGTGCCACACAAGCTCACGCTGCTCTTGCCTGTGCATCCCCAGGCTGGCTCCAGGGCGTCCGCTTGGCTGATGGCGAGAAGGGCTGGGTGCCCCAGACCTACGTGGAGGAGATCAGCAGCCTCAGCGCCCGCCTTCGCAACCTCCGGGAGATCAAGCGGGTCACCAGTGCAGCCAGCAAGCTGGGGGAGCCCCCCGAGTGACGGGCTGTGTGGCTTGGGGTGCCCACTCGCCAACAGCTCTGGGTGGCCACTGTGGCTCCAGCCCAAGCTGCCACTGCTGGCCTCTATCTGTGGCCCTGGCATCAAGGGCACAGGATCTGGGCCCTCAGAGAGTGCCCCTGTTCTCAACAGTCTTCAGTGTCCACCCTGGAGGGCTGGGACATCTTCTTTCTCTGGCATGGGGGCCATGACAGATGTCTGTTGGGACCTAGGCAGGACCAGATTTCTCTCCTGGGCCTCCACCATGCTGACTGTTGGGCCATGTGGCAGGGCCATGGCTGGGGGATGCCCCCCCCTTCCCCCAGAGCTGCTGGGTGCTAGGACCTGCACCTCTCTGGAATCTTCATCTCCAGCTCTTCCCTGCCATGTTCCCTGTACCAGGAGCATCCTTGGCTGCCAGGACTGGCACTGGCCTTTTCCAGAATTGGCTTAACCCCGAGGGGATAAGGGGCTGTGTGCCAGTTAGGCCATCTCAGTGCAAGCACACAGTATCAGCTCTGAACAGGCTTAACTATTAAAGAGATGTTATTAGTTCTTGTATTTGTTTCCTGTGTCCTGCAACAAATTATCACAAACCAGGTGACATAAAACAATAGCAATGCATTGTCTCACAGGCTGGTTGTCAAAAATCTAAAAATCAGTGTCACCTGCCCAAGGACCGGGTGTCATCAGAGCTAGGCTCTGTCTGAGTCTCAGGAGAAAATTCTCCAGCTCCTGGTAGCTGCCAGCATTCCTTGACTTCTGGTCACATTGTTCAGATATCTGCCTTCATGGTCATTTTACCCGTTCTCTGTGTCCCTGGCAAATCTCTCCTTGCCTCCCTTTTTAGCACATGTGATTATATTTGGTCACACCCATATAGTGTCCCCATATACTTTTTTTTTATTTATTTTTTTTCTTTCTTCTGGTACTAGGGATCGAACTCCCCATATACTTTAAATGCCATTTTCTCTTTTTTTTGGTACTGGGGATCGAACCCAGGACCTTGCACTTGCTAGGCAGGCACTTATGCTACTGAGCTGAATCCCCAGCTTAAATGACATTTTCAAAGACACCCCAAATCAGGCATGGTGGCACACACCGGTAATCCCGGCACTTAGGAGGCTGAGGATGGAGGATTCTGAGTTTGAGGCCAGTCTGAGCTACATAGTAAGTTCAAGGACAGCCTGAACTACATAACAAAACCCTGTCTCAAAACAAACATAGAGGGGCTGGGGATTTAGCTCAGCGGCATAAGCGCCTGCCTTGCAAGCAGGCAGTTGTGAGTTCAATCCCTGGTACCGATAAAAAGGAAAAAACACACACAAAAAAAAGAAAAAACAAACAGAAAGACACACCCCTACCTAATTGCTTTTTAAAAAAAATCATGTAGCACTCTTCCTGTAAGGGACCAGAGCTGACCTGTGAAAACACTTCTCTCGGCTCAGAAAACCCCACAAAATCATGCAAATCATTTAAAAAAACACAAGCCAGGAGGCTCAGAGGATGGACACCCATGAAACTGCCCAGGCCAGCAAGGGTCTGCGTGTCCGAAAGGCCACCAAGTATCTGAAGGGTGTCACATTAAAGAAGTGATGTGTTGGGCTGGGGATTTAGCTCAGCCGCATAAGCGCCTGCCTTGCAAGCACATGGTCTTAATGCCCAGCATGGGGGTGGGGGATGAATGCCCTCAGTGAGGGAGCTGGTGGGTGCGTCCAGGCCAAACAGTGGGGCAGGACACAGGGCTGGGGTCCAGAGAGCCGTGCTGACTGGTGGTTCTGGGGTCACTGAGCATACCCCGCTGGATGAAGCACCTGAGACCCACACCTTTTCAGATCCTTACTGAAAAGAAACAAGTTGTGCCTAAGCCAGAGGAGAAGTTGCACAGAAGAAACGATATCCCTGATGAAATAAAAGCTTATGGCACAGGAATAAATTAGGCACAAAATAAATGCAAATGAAAGTAAAAAAAAGTCATGTAGCAGTAATAAGGTCCAATGATTAGGATGTAGGTACACTTTGAAGGGCCAATTTTCATCCTATCACAAGTGGGGCTCTTTCTGTTTTGTTTTTTGTACCAGAAATTGAACTCAGGACCTCACACTTGCCAGGCAGGTGCTTATGCTGCTGGGCTATATCCCCCAGCTCCCTACCACAGCTCTTCAAAGTGAGGGGACAATGCAGGCTTTAGGCAAGGCTTGATCCAGGGGATCACTGATGTCCTGAAACCCAGCTCTTTGTGTCCTCAGTCTGGCCCTTGGTGTTAGCCTCCTCCTAGACTAAGGGCTCTTCATCCATAGCCAACATGGGAGAAAAATGTCAGTGTTCTCCATCAGAGGCTGGGAATTCTGACTGGACCAACGTGGAATGCCATGGGTGCCCAAGGAGAAGCAACAGCTTTTGGGAGGCAGGGCAGCCCCATGCGGAGGAGGCCAATGGCCTGGGGCCTGTGGGAGAGAGGCCGGAGCTTCCTGTAGCCTCCACTGGAGGAGGGGGGTGCCGAGAGCAGGTGAGACGGGGTCCTAGAGCAGCGTAGGCCCATGCGGAGGAATCTGGGAATGATGTCTCTTCCGGTGCCAGGGAGTGGACCAAGGCCCTCAGTCACACTAGGCAAACACTGCCCCTCTGAGCTCCCTGTACCCTGCTTTTTTTTTTTTTTTAATCGGTACCAGGGATCGAACTCACGACTGCCTGCTTGCAAGGCAGGCGCTTATACTGCTGAGCTAAATCCCCAGCCCCATTGTTTTTTAATAACTTTAGATTTACAAGGAAACTGCAGAGGTGGAGCAGCAAGTTCTGTACATGCCTCTTACAATGTCCCCCTTGAATGTCCCTTTAATGTTTCCCACGTTTCACATGACCGTGACACAATTGTTATGAAGAGGACACCAGCGTCCGCCCACAAGTACCCCCTCACCCCCATTTAAGATGAGGTCTCACTATGCAGTTCAGGCTGGTTTTGCGCTCACACTGTAGCCCAGGTTGGTCTTGACTTTGCTTGATCCTCCTGCCTCAGCCTCCCGAGAGATTACGAGTGTGCACCACCAGGTCTGGTCACAAGTGCCCTTTTCTGCTCTGGGATCCGGGCTGGGATCCCACGCTCCTAGAGGCACCATGTCTTAGTCTTCTCTGGTCTGTGAGTTTCTTAGTCTTCCCTTGTTTTTCATGACCTGGACAATTATGAGGCACTCTGGTCAGTGTCCGTAGGCTCGCCCTCAATCTGGGTGTGTCTGATGTTTCCTCATGACTAGACAGGACTGTGGGGCTCCGGGGAAGGAAACCGCAGGGGTAAATAAGTATCTTCGTCACATGATGCCGGCGTGCACCGATGTCTGCGCGAGCTGCCACTGGTGGTTTCTTTCTCTGGTTTTCGGAGACAGGATCTCACCAAGTAGCCCAGGCCAGCCTCAGACTCACCATTCCCCTGCCCCGGCCTCCTGATTAAGACAGATTTCTCTGGAGGGGGCCTCATGTGCGTCCACCATGTGCTCTCCACCATGCCGAGTTATCCTGGCAGCCCGGTTTCCTGCCTGTGAGGTTACTCTTTCCTCCACCCTCTGTTCTTTGGAAGCAAGTGGCTCCCATCCTAGACTGAGGGCAGGGACCACGCCACCTCCTGGAGGCCACGTTTTACAGTGGAATTCATCTCTGGATCGGTTACGTCTGGACTCCTGAGTCTATGGATTCTATACTTAGGGTTGTCACTGGTGTTCATGATATTGTTCAGGCTACTCCGGCTTTCCTTGGGTTGGTGTCTCTGCCATGACTGGGGATTGACCCAGGCTCTGTGCACAGCTACATCCCTGGCCTTTTTTTTTTTTTTTTTTTTTAATTTAAGAAACAGAATCTTGGGACTGGGGATTTGGCTCAGTGACATAAGTGCCTGCCTTGTAAGCAGGCAGTCATGAGTTCCATCCTCGGTACTGATAAAAAGGAAAAAGACCAAAAAAAAAAAAAAAAAAAAAAAAAAAGAAAAAAGAAAAAGAAAAAGAATCTTGCTAAGTTGCTCAAGCTGGACTAGAACTTGTGATTCTCCTGCCTCCCAGCCCGCGCCACCACACCCCGCTGCCCTGTCCTTTGGTGTTGAGAAACCAATATCCAGGTGCCAGGTGTGTGCACAGCTATTGAGGGGCCACACCACGTTTCAGCCCTTGAAACTGAGTGATTTTAGAGGCTGTGGGAGGTTCTGAGCCTCAGTTATCTCAACTGCAAAGTGGGGTGGCGGTGACGGTGTCTCTCATGGAACATGCAAGTGCTTGACAAGGTGCCTTTTGGGAGAAGCCAGAAAAAGTGGTGGCTTTGTCATCAGAGCTGCGTGGTAAGAGCAGGGGTTCCTTGTGAGGTAATGAGGTCTCCGTTCCGTTTAAGGAACCACAGTCCAGGCATGGGATCCCTGCATGGGGTAAAGAGGAGAGAGTACAATTCCTCCTGTGCCAGTGTGTGTGTGGAGCGCCAGGGCTGGTGCCCAGCTCGCAAAGCCAAAGGAGCAGGCTCGCCTGCACTCGATCTGCTTGGCTCCTCTGGGCTCCGGCTGACACCGGATCCGGCAGCTTTGGGATCAGCACCCAGGCAAGGAGCCCCGGGTAGCACTCGGACTCCTTGGGCCCAGACCCTTGTCCCCACTCGCCCTGCCTGCCTGCCTGACTGTCCAGAAGACGGTCCGTGCCGTGTCCTGGGGAGTCCCTCTGGGTTCCTCTCCTGCCCAGGAGGCCCTGCTGGCATCTGGCCCTGGCCAGCGACCCAGGGTGCTGCCCCTGCTTGCTGCACAAGAGGAGGTGGGCAGGGAGCTATTGGCACAGCGGGACGCGGAGGCGGCTCCTCTGGGGCTGGGGTTTGGCATTCCCGGGGGTGCTGTCTGCCCAGCTAGCCTCCAAGCCTAGGCCTTCAGAGAGCCCCCCTCAGGGCGTCCTCCAATCCCTCCCACCTCTGCCGCACCTTGGCCCCAAGGCCCCCAAGCTCTGAGCATTTTTGTTTGGAAGATTCTGTCCTGAAGCAAAAGGGTGGAGAAAGAAAGTTATTAGCACTTGGGGGGTGCTCAGGGGTCCAGCACCAATTAATTAATTAATTAATTAATTGAACCGGCGCCCAGCTGGCCTCAGCAGGGCCCTGGGCAGCTGCTCCTTTGTCCTTCCTGTCTTCCTCCTTTCCCTCCCTACTTTCTTCTTTCCATCTTTGCACCCTCCTTGCTCTTCCTTTTTCTCATTTGTGTGCCTCATGGACACAGCCAGCGCCCCAACCTTTGTGGCACTCCCCACTGGCCTGGCAGAAGAAGGGTGGGGGCTCCCAGAGAGCCCAGAGAGCTGGCGCGCATGCGTGCATGTGTGCGTGGCACGTGGAGGGAGGGGCGCAGGGGCTCAGGGGCCTGACACTGTCGCTGGTGTGGGGTTGGAGCAGAGCTCCCTGCAGCCACTAAAGCTGAGCACGGACGGCCTGGGCCCCAGAGCGGCGTGTTCTTAACAGCACTGGCCATGAATAGCTGAAGTATGAGGATCCACGAACGCGGTGTATTCACGCGGGAAGCGCCACACAGCACCGGGACAGAAGCATCCGCA